AATGCTTGGTTTCATTAACATCTGTTGGTTTGAAAATCTAGACAGACACCTGGGATCTTTTCTTGAAAGAAAACTTAAGTCTTTGCTGAAGCTGTCATCTCAGTAGTTTGAATTGGTGTGCTAGCTGAGGTTCAAACAAAGATAATAATTCCATTTCTACTGTAAAAATAACAAAATAAAACCCAATGCATATGCAAAAGTTAGTCTTCTGGAAAAAAAACCCCACCTAACCTTTTAGAATTCCTGAATTTGCAAAATCTGCCTACTCTGTTGCATAATACCTTTAACTCTTAGATAAGAATAAGAGAGGTCAGACGTTTATTTCCCAAAGAATATCTCTCAGTACCTTGTTGTCATGATACACCTGTTAGGGTCAGCAGTATACAGTTCTCTCTGTGCCAGAGAGAACTTTTTTATTGCCTAATAAAACTAGATTAGCCAATAGAAATTATTGCAATTCAATGTCTAATACATAGGTATTCATAGTAGATAACACCTCCATTTACATAGGCAATGCTCTAATCGTATAACTCTAATCATATAGCCAAGTTCAGTATTTAAAAGCCAATGGACACAAACAACGTGATAAAAGGTTTAACGTATCCAATATTAAGTAACTGAATTTGCATTGAAGGTCTATCAAGCTTACCTTTTAACCAACTTAAACAATAGCAAGTGACAAAGACTAGAAAATCACCCACTCAGCAGCAAATAATTCTAACTTGGTAACAAATCCAGTGTAGATCCTCCTGGCCTTCTCCTTTGGAAGCTGTACAGAGGACATTGGTAGGCATTTGTAAGGATTTACAGTGATAACAAGGAAAAAACCCCAAAACACCTAACTGACTGTAATCTGTCAGTTTTCAGGAAGGAGGTGTGTTTGCCATGGAGACACAGCAGCAGCTGCCCTGCTTGGCTACGTGTCATAGAGATGTCTGGCAGTTCACTTAGTTGCACAGTGAAGGAGTAAGGTGGCAGATGAAGATCAAACCAGTGGTGATTGGAGTTAATTCCCTTTATCTCTTCTGTGGATATCCCCAACTCCAAATATAAAAGCAAAATGAACTACAAAAAAGATTTTATTTTTGTTGAAGGATTAAGAGACTTTTTTGACCAGAGGACTGGATTATTCAGTGATTCTTTAAATAATTTAAAAGCCTGTGGGCAAAACCAATCTGCAAAGAGTCTCTACCTAACTACAGGAGAAAGTCAGGACACTAAATGCACCTATAGAAACTACTGACACTGACCAGCCTCACCCAGGGCATGCACACACTGCTTGTGAACACAGGGTCTCAATTTCGCCTCAGCCTCAGACCCTCAGATATCTTGCCATATGCTCAGCTGCAAACTAGTCTGGCCCCATGATCTGGATAGACCTTAAACATACACACTAGCTAGTTATTGTCCTGGACTGGTCTCTCAGATGTCCACTGCACACTATTTTTAGCTCTGTCTCCTGAATGGACTTCAGAATCAAGATGAAACTTTGCCTGTAGTCCTATCTCTGGTGTCATCTGCTTTTGCTCCTGACTGGAGACTCTGAATGAACCGAGCTCATCTCTTGCCTGGGACTGCCAATGGATCGACCACCAGCACCTGGCTTACCCTGCTAGGAGTAGATTTTGTGGGACCATTCCCTGGAGTCACCCTTTACTCCTGGAACACCTGGTCTGAAAGAACAGCAGGACCTCGGTGATTCTAGAGGACATGGAAAAAACATACTAACACCTAGTACCATAAAAACCTTCAGACACTTGCTTTCTTCAGCCATTTGCTCACACAAGAAATGCCATCCAGAGGGACCTGGGTAGGCTTGAGAGGTGGGCTTGTGTGAGTCTCATGAAGTTTAACAAGGCCAAGTGCAAGGTCCCGCACCTGGATCAGGGAAATCTGAAGCACAAATACAGGCTGGGTGGAAAATGGATTGAGAGCAGCCCTGAGGACAAGGACTTGCAGACATTGGTGGACAAGAAGCTGTGTTTTTTGTTACGTAATGACAGTTGTAGTACTACTTTTCAAATCTTACTCGAAGCAAAGAATCATGTTACAGATTAAACATTTACTGAACAGAAAGAAAACCTGTGATAAAGATGTCTCAAATTAAAAGGCAGCAATCTTTACAGTATAAGCCCATAGGCAGGAACAACCATGGTGATGGTAATTTAAACAGCTAAAAATTTTCCTTCTATTGAGGAGTTTTTACAGAACAAATCTTGCATCAGGACAGAAATCAACAATGATTTGTGCATGATTTGTTTTGTTTCACTTGTTGTAATAGCTTTAACATTATGAGAGCTTTTCTTTAAGGAGTAGTAGATAGAGAATGAAGGATTATAATACATCTCCTTCTGATAATAAACTGTTATGCTTATTCCAATAACAGTTTACATGGGTTCAGTGGTCAGCTGAATAAATTTGGGAAAAAAGTTAAGGACTACTGAATGCAGAAATCCCAGGATGATAACTAATCGTAGAAGTACTGCAGATTGGTGGTATCAGTACATCATTTTGTCCTACTCATGTTCCTCCTTAGGTAGCTGTAACTGGCCAGTGTCAGAAATAGGCTGTTATTATACATAACAATGTAATCTGACACAATCTCTGTGTTCTGTGATACCGTGGTGCAGAGGCATATCAGCTGGTGTAGACTTTCAGCTGTGGGTTATGGAAGGAAAATGAAGTGAATCTTAAAAGAATACAGCACAATTTTCTCATTGTGGTAGTCCATAATTAAAAGAGAGTGCAGAATCATAGTTCCAACACCACCCATAAACTTTGTAGTATTAGAACTGTAATAGAGTCTTTAACTAAATCACAACTGGAGTCAAGTTATTCTTACAAAGTGAAATAACATCAGTGTTAAAAAAAGTACATATACCATGTCACTTTAATTTAAAAGGTATAAGGCACTTCCCTTGAGAGTCTTGTGCTTTATTTTACAAACCTAACATCCCTAGCAGCTGCGTAGCAACTCACATGGTCAGCTCATCAGGCCAAGATATAGCATCTCTGAGCTCTGGAGAAATTGCTGTAATAATAGCAAGACGCAGTTTTGCAATCCTGTCCTCTCTTCCAGGAAACCTCCTTCTTTCTGCTGATGTACATGTAGAAATGAAAGCAACTGTTTTTGTTAGCCACGTACTTTTAAGTGATAGGTTTATTTGAAGCTACAAGATTAGCTAGGTTTTGTTGTTTTGACATCAAAGCACTGTTCACATTTGATATCATTTTGAGTTTCATTTTCTATTGCATCTCTTGTTCAAGATTGCCATGTGCTTGTTAAGGCCATAGTACAGTTTTTAGCAGCAACTAAAGAACTGGCTAACTAATCAAGCACAGTTTAATAAGCCAGGCTTGTATCCTTACCACAGTGATTGCTCACAGCCCATGCTAAGGTGAAGTCTGTGCTGAGTTTCTTAATAAGAAAGTATTAACAAACCACTCCAGATGTGGTGCTTCCCAGAAGTGGGCATCCCTTGACATCACTTCACAGTTCACTGGATCATCTCTCCAGTCTTCCTGCTCCAAAGCATAGTTTTCAAGTTGAACCAAAACGAGGGTTACTTCTGGAAGAGGAAGAATTGTGGATAGGCAGTACGTAGTTTGGGATGCTTAGGATGCTTCTGTTTTCCCTCCAGACTTCACTTCCTATACCACTACAGGCAACTATAAAACTCTGACCTCACATTAAAAAGTCACCATTTCAAGCAAACTGACTGTAATAGCTTATCTTTTCTGAAATATCATGCCAATATTACCTGCCAGAGAAAAAGGATAAATTTTTATGAACACTTATTACTTGGTCACATTCTGCAGGAATATTTTGACAAAACCTGCAAATTGTTTCAAGCAGCTTTGGAATTGCTTTTAAAAGAAATGTATTTCAGTACAAATTCATAACAGGAATTAATTTGTTAATATCGTGGGTTTTATGTATTTTTCTAATATTTCTATTTAACTCTTGTTATATTATCTCAAGTTAAGAGTCATAGCAAAGTTTTAACTCCTTTCATGTTACTATCATATGTATTAAGAAGCAATAGATACCCATAGAGGAGAGAAACAAAACTTAATTATACTTTAAAGGCAATCTGTTAAAGTCCGTATTGGATTTATATCACAAACCCTTGCAACTAACAGCTTTGCAGTTTGAAGTGAGCTGCTTCTCAATTTAGTGTATTAATTTGGGGCTCTCTCATTCTGAAACAAGGGACTAAAGTCATTACTCCAAATACACACTGGTATAAATTGTGAGTAACATTTCCAGCATAATGGAGTAGTTAGGATAACTCAGATTATATCAGAGGAGTAATTCCATGTTTACTACAGGAATAGGGAGCTTGCATGAGTCAGTGATCTTTGCTGCAAAGTAAATTTAGTTTTAGGTTTGGAAGTAGTGATAAGTTATCTCCGTGAATTCAGAAGACATACAGTACATCTGTGATACAATTAAGATGAAACCAATATGTATCTTGGAAATATTTTTTTCTTCCCATTCTTATTCTATTTAAACGTTGATGTAAATATATGTCTTCAAAGTGGCTACACTTGGTTCTGTTCATAAATAAAGATACAGCTTCGCGACTATGCTGATATCCTCAGAGATACAGAACTGAAAGAGGGGGGAAAGCGAGTACCAGTTACCTCTCCTCTCGCTAAGAACAACATCACCAAAAGTACTACAGTTCACAGACACGCACACACCGACACATAGCAGCAACAGTTGAGGATAGTGACGTGTTGCTTCTCAAGCTCGCCACTCGAACGCGAGTATACGCTCTGCTGCAGAAACACAGAAACCCTTTTCTCCTGTTCGAGCAAGCCTCTTACGGACGAGAGCTCTTTCCCGGGCAAACGTGCCCCGAGACGCGCGCAGGGATGCTCGGCTACCGTCCCGGGGCGGGGCGGGGGTCAGGGCCGTGCCGGGCGGGCGGGCAGGTGGTGGCGGGGCGGGCCGAGCGCGGCACCGCCCCTGGGCCCCATTGGCGCCGGCGGCGGGGGCCGCTCCGCACCGCCCCCCGCACACAAGTGCAGTGCCCGGCGGCGGTGGGGGCTGCGCGGCGGGGCCATGCAGAGCTGCGGGCGCTTCTGGGGGCGGCTGGCGGCCCGCGGGGCCACGGGGCACCTGCGGGCGGCGGCGGGGGGGCAGCGGCGCTGGGGCGGCGGTGAGGCGGCGCGGTGCATCGAGCAGCTCCTGCCGCGGCACGATGACTTCTCCCGGCGGCACATCGGGCCGCGGGAGCAGGAGAAGAGGGAGATGCTGCAGACCGTCGGGGTGCAGGTAGGCGCCGTGCGGGGCGGGGGGCCGGAGTCCTGCCGCCAGGGCTCTGCGCAGCTAACCACGGCGTGCCGTCGCCTCTTTGCAGAGCGTCGAGGAGCTGATGGACAAAACCATTCCGGCCAGCATCCGGCTCCGGAGGCCGCTGAGGATGGATGACCACGTCTGTAAGTGACCACATGGCCCGGGGTGCTCCCGGAGCCCCCCCGCACTCCCGCGGCCCCTCCCGGGGGGCCGCCAGAGGCCAAGGGTGGGACTTGGGGTGCACACCCCCTTCCCCCCCGGTGTCCCTGCGAGACGTGTAGCGAGCAGATCTTCCCGCTGAAGTAAGACTTTAATAAGCGTAGCAGCACCATCACCGACACTTCAGTCTTCGCCGACCAACTCGGCAGAGTAATTCAGCGGCTGCCTTTATTGCTCTCCTGTTGAAAATCAGTAGGAAAACGGGTGTAGCAGACAGGGATTGCCCAAAAGCACGTTTTGGAGCTCAAGTGCTACAGAGACTTCTCTTTGTGCCAAGAGCCTGACACCAAGGGAAAAGTGTGACTAAAAATCGTCCCCTTAGCGTGGACTGTAGCTTCAAATGGTCCACTGTCTTTTGTTAGGACTTACGTGTCTGCAGGATCCGTTATTCCTCCCCAGCAATAACCTGCATATTTAAATAACACTAAAACCCCATGTCTCCGTATTATGGATACACAGTAGACTAATGGCCAGCATTTTGAGTCCATCTGATGAGTCCATCTGGAGGAATACAAAACATTTGATCCAGCTGTTGTGACACTACAATAATTCAGTAAATTGCTGAAGAAAACTTGATGTGACTTGATGAGAGTTTAGATATTTATGTTTTTAAAAGCATGCACAGCACAAAATTTCTACCTCATAACTGTAATCTTGAGAGATATCTGTGAACATCATGCTGGAAATCCCGTGAGTGAAAGGAACGCTTAAAAATCCCCCTTGCTAAACAATTGCACTAAAACTAACAAAGCTCAGTGGCCATTCAGAAAGGGGAATCAATTACATCAGTATTAACTTCGTTTTTGTGTGATGATCCTTTGTCTGATTTGTAGAAAACTTGATCCCTCTCTCTGGCATTTTCTCATTGCTCATCTGTGTGCTGTAATTTGAGTGTAAACTTCAGGCCTGCAGCTCCGGTGAGGTTCCCGGCCAGTTCAATCTGGTTACTCCAAGATGACATCACGAGCGAGAGGCAGTGCCACAATGAACAGCCAGGAATACTAGACCCTGAAAAGACAGATTCTAGCCAGGAGGGATTCAATAGGGACTGAAAGTTTCTACTTCTAAAATTCTTTATTAGTACAGTGGAATTTTATTTTTTCATAACTTCCCATCTTATTAAAATGGGGAGCAGCTGGGTAGAGAAGCAGAATTTAATCACCTTCTTCTGTCTTTATAAAGACAGAATACTTTATGCTGAAAGTATTGCTTGACATATTTTCCTATTGGTTAATATATTTTAATCGAGGTGCTTCAATTACGTCTTAAAAAGCTTTCTTCTTGTTTAAAAAAAATTATTATTAATTAATATGATACTCTTATGAAATTGTACATTACCCAAATAAACATAAAAGGGATACAGTACAGTTGGACATTAAAATAGTTATACATTATTGAAAACTAAATCGGTGATGTCAACCTAAGTCAAAATCTTGATGCAGAGCTCTAATGCTGATTTGCATAACAGTTTTGGAATGGAAGTCTGCTACATATCTGTGCATTAGTTGCTATTCTGTTGTATGCAAGTTCTCACTGTGCAACAGGACCTCATTAACTAACAGTGTATTTAGTTCACTGGCATTTTGCTCCACTTGCTATGCTGTTCTTGTCCCCTTAGAGTAAGCTTTGAAAGAATGTGACCGTGATGCAGAGTCTCACATTGCACAGCATGCAACAGAGAATTTTCAAAAGAGATGCTTGCATGAGGTACAGAAAACTTTTTTCAGCACATTACTTTTTTCTTCTGCAGCCAATGTGCTGAACTGTCTTTTGTAATTATTGTGTAGTTGTTTATCACTGGTTTTCCACTGCGTTGGTGGCAGAAAACTCCACAGCTTGCAAAAGAAAAGTTAAAAGCCTCAGCTTAAAGCTGTGCAATGTCACATTGAACATCTTTTGCCCAGGACACTAGTCTGAGTGAAACTTGCTTCCTTGTTAATGTATCATTAGAGAGAATAATGTCCGCTCATCAGGGTGGGATTTCATGTGTGAGTATGGTGCATCATTATTTTTCTATCATATCCCTTGTATTAGAGGGAAATAGCAAAATTGGGAAAGTGTCACAAAAACTGTATTCTATTTTAAACATCTTTTTATTTGTATGAAGCCAGTTTTACTCCCACTGTCCCCCAAACTCGCACATAAAATTAATGGACAAGACAATGCAAAACGTGTCACTCAGTGACCTTCAACATTTATAAAATTTCTAATACAGCAATTCCTAGTGGTTTAAATATACATTTCCACTGGTCTGTATAACTTGAATTAAAAAAATAGTGACTTCACAAGTTAGAGTGCGGCTGAACAAATCAGCTGTGCTAGAGCTGCTCCTTTGTAATAATAAACACAGATGAGCTTACACTGGAGTCTCATTGAAGTCAATGCTTACAGATAGAACTAGACATGCAGTCCAAGAAAACTGTGCACACACCATGAAAAGTACATCCAGGTGAGTTTCGAAGGTCTCTGGATTTATGTTTGGGTTTTAGACCTCACCTCAAGTGTGTATATTTGATGTATACGTTCGATGTATATGCATATCTTCAAATTTTGATCAGGTCTGCCAGTAGGAAAGATTGTATTACAGATTGGTAGTGTAACATAACAAGTTGTCTAAAAGATGGAAAATCAGTCGACTGGGTGTATGAAATAGCAGGAAAAAAAAAGAAAAAAGAGGCTTCTATAGATGCAGCTTGTATTAAAGGGCTGTTTTAAATGGCATTGCATATTCCACTGATGATAAATAAAACCTCTGAATACAGTAGAAGCAAAATCATTTTGTACCTGTGTTGTCTTTCTGAGACATTTAGCACAGACCTACTCTTCAGTGGAAGAATCAAGCTTCGTTACTTCCCTAAAGGACATAATATGCAGAGAGGGAAAGCCTCTAACCTTAACTGGACATTTCCTGAGGATACGAAGGCTCTGCAGTGAGATCTGGACAGGCTGGATCGATGGGCTGAGGCCAGTGGTGTGACGTTCAATAAGGCCAAGTGCCAGGTCCTGCACTTGGGTCACAACAGCCCCAGGCAGCACTACAGGCTGGGGGCAGAGTGGCTGGAAAACTGCCTGGAGGAAAAGAAGCTGGGGTTGCTGCTCAGCAGTGGCTGAACATGAGCCAGCAATATGCCCAGGTAGCCAAGAAGGTCAATGGCATCCTGGCCTGAATCAGCAATAGTGTGGCCAGCAGGACAAGGGAACAGATCATCCCACTGTACTCGGTATTGGTGAGGCTGCACCTTGAATCCTGTGTCCAGTTCTGGACTCCTCTTTCCAGAAAGGACATTGAGGTGCTGGCGTGTGTTTAGAGAAACAGCAAAGCTGGTGCAAGGTCGGGGGCACAGGTCTTAGGAGGTGCAGCTGAGGGAGCTGGGGTTGTGTATCCTGGAGAAAAGGAGGCTTGAGGAAGACCTTATCACTCTCTACAAGTACCTGAAAGGAGATTGTAGGCCAGGTGAGGATCTCTTCTCCTAGGCAACTAGTGACAGAATAGAGCAAGTGGCCTCAGGTTGTACCAGGGGAGGTTCAAATTGGACATCAGGAAGAAATTTTTTACTGAAAGTGTTGTTAAGCCTTGAAACGGGCTGCCCAGGGAGGTGATGGAGTTGCCATCCCTGAATTGTTAAGAAACAACCGGACAGCACTTAGTGCTGCGGTCTAGTTGACAAGGTGGTGATCTGTCGAAGGTTGGACTTGATGATCTTGGAGGTTTTTTCTAACATAAATGATTATGTGATTTGTTTTGCTAATGTATGAAAGAAGTAGCCATTCTGGTAAATGCTGAGCTTTGCTGGTACTGCATCTACACTAGAAATTCGGTTGCAATAATTATCCCTATATTGGCAGATTCTTTCGCTGTACTAACATGGTCAGTGATGAAGGAGAGAAAGAATGTTTGTTGTGCTAAGAGGTTTCTGAAATGAAGTACTTTGTTCAAGACAGAACCATCAATGTCCATTTTCTAACCAGAAAAGAGCCATTTTAAAAATGTCTGCTGCCATGAGCCCACTGACAGTATTGTAAAATCACCTAAACATGCCACTGAAAGCCAGTTGAGGTGAAACAGCACAATGTCTGATTTCCACTAACAGTAAATTGCAGTCCTTTACCTCAGCTTGATTCTGGAAGAGGAGCTTTTTTTACAGTTAGATTTTCCTGCAGATATAGTTGAGGAAAAATGTAATTTTGGCATGGAACTTCTATTCAGTCAATATTTACAACAAAGGTAGATGTCTGTTTGATACTTAATTGTGATCAGCTGGTATTACAGAGCTTTTTCCCCAATGTTACAGTAAGTAAGCTTTTCTTTAAGTATTGAATGTGCTTTAGCACAAATGTAGTGATTGACCCATTTGAAGTAAAAGATTATCTTATATAAGCGTAATCCTCTTTACTTTATCCCTACAAACCTACTGTCTGTATCAGACGTAGTTATCCCTGCAATGCTGCCATTGTGTGTCCATCTTTATGTTATGGGTAGGCTGCTTTGTGCACATGTTGTGTATTACTGCTTTTTAGTTCAGGATTTGAATTTTTAAAAAGTTTTCATTAAAAAATAAATCTACAAACTCTGCCATAATTTTGTTTTTCCAAATATTCCCAGTTTCATTCTCAAATTTTAGAATTTATAAACATTAATTTCTAAAATCTGTGTAAGAATGCAATTTGGTCTCCAGTCTAAATGTTATTAGAAGCAATACTGCTCAGAAGCAGTCATATTGTAACAAGACTATTTGTATCTTCAAATTCAACTACTCTTTATGTAGTTGAATCTACTTTAACTAGGATTTTATCTTTAAAATGCCAATTAAAAATTAATTATGTGTGAGTTTATAATCATCTGATAATGTCAGTCAGATTTTTAGAGCTGATTTAGTTATTTTGGATTCCTCGCTGCTGGAGTCCACACTGTAGCTTTGGATGCCTGTAGCAGGGGGAATTGTTACCCTGCAGTGTTGCCACAGGTAGTGCAGCAACCTGCATTACCACCATTGGCACTTTGCCCCTCACATGTTGGTCCTCCTCGTTGCTCCTCCTCATCACGGCACTTTCAGGCTGCTGCTCTTTTGAAAGGCAGCAGGCCCTGGGGGTAGAAAAGAGAAAGGCAGGCATCTTGCTGGCTCTTAGCTTGTCCATGCTTTCCGCTCCTTGCGGCATCCTCAGATTGCTTCTGCCATCCAGACTGGCTGGGAGAGTGCAGGTGGCCTGAGTGAAAGCAGTAGGAAGAGGCAGGGCAATAGATACTGTTGGTTTTCTTTCCATATCTTGTAGTTGCTGGTTGGACACAGCACCTGAAATGGGCACTTTCCTTGTGATGTCCTACAGCATTATTATGTGTCTGATAGTTCTTTGGAACTGGTGTGCTTCAATATAATCTGACTGATTTTTAATTATTTAAACAGAGATTAAATTAATTATTAAAATGAAAGAAATAAATTAATGTGCTTTTTCTTACATCAGTTGTTCTGAAGATCATGCTTCCTTGATCTCAGAAGTAAGATTTTTTTTTTTTAAGATCTGACATAAAGTGAATAAAATTATATCAGACAAATAGTCACCTCCCTTTTGTGTTGTAAGGTTTAAGTAATACAGCTTGGACTCTCTCTCTCTTTCGCTGGTACCATATTATTTTGCAGGTATCTCAAAAGTTCAAGGTAACTCTACTGTGCTAACCACAAAAACACTAGCAGAAATAAGTGTTACTGTGTTATGATCTCATAATTCATGCCCTACTATTTTTGTGATATATTTTACCTTTGCTACCTTTAGACATAGTAATCTTGAAGTGTCCTCACAGAACTACTGCTGGGACTCTCAGTGAATTTTCCCCAGTTACAGGAAAGCAATATTGCAGGATCACTGCTTTATTCTGAATATTGTCTTTGATCATAATTTTAATCAGTTAATGAGGGGAATAAAGTTCAACTGCCGTGACTTAGCCGGCAATTTTATTTTTTGCTGAATAAGGTTTTTAAAGAATTTTTATTGTACAGGCAATAAAATGAATTCATGATAAAGGCATTTCAACCTTTTAGTCTCAGAAAACTGGAAACAAACAGCTGAGTGTAAAGGCCAGGGTCCAACCATTATTTAAGTATAGTAAATTTTTCTTTCCCTTTGATTTCCCCATTTTGCATATTACTTCTTAACTTCACCCATTGCTGGGAAGAATTAAAAAAAAAAAAAAGAAATCAGAACACAATCCAAAATCTCTCAAGCTGTGGGGTTTTTTTGGATCATGTATCTCCAAATTCGTAGAAATACTAGTCTTCTTGTGTTTTAGTTTTAAAGAAATTATTTACAATAATACACTATTTCCACTATATATTATCCAAGTTATATACTACATATAGCAGAAAAAGTCTGTAATTTTTTGTGTTTCATGACACCTTTATGGACCAAAATGGAAACTTAGCAATTTCATTATGAATTGGAAAATTAATTTTAAGCATGCATAAGATCACTCTTGTGGTTACATTCATCTACCTTTATATTAGCATTAATTATTTACAAAGTGCTCAATAAAGAGTTAGACACCTTACAAAAACAACTTTATGGGAATAGACTGAGGAAACCTAGGTGTGATGGAGTGGGAAATAAGGCTACTGACAGAGGCACAGGGTCCTGTTCAGGCCAGCGGGAACCCGGGTCAGCAGGCTCAGCTGTGGGCTCAGACCAGGCTGCTCAGGGCTTTACCCTGTCAGAACAGGAAACTCCCAAGGATGGAGACCCAGCTCCACCCCTGGGCTGTCCTCACGGGCCCAGCTCTCCTCATCTCCAGCCTGAGCCTCTCGCGCTCCTGCTGTGCACGCAGCACAGCTGCAAAGAGCCTGGCTGCATCTCCTCCAGCCCCTCCTGTTAGTGCAGGGCATACTGATAAGAATGGTTTCATTGCCTTGTTTTCTGGTCTTAGGACTCCAACATCATTTCTCTTGCCTTTGCCTACATCAGTTTTGCTTGAATTCAGAACCCTATCAGCATAAAGCAAACACTGAATTAATGAAATCTACATGGATTTATGTTAGGTCATAAGTAAGTCAGCTTGCATAGATAAATCAGGGGCTGTTGACTTTCTCTACTCAGGAGTGCAGTTGCTTATGAACTTCCTAAGGACATGATGAAGTTCTTCAAGGCAGTGTAAGGCATAGGGGAAGAAAACTTCATCCCAGGTCTCTTTAAAGGGGCATGCCAAGTGTGGAAGATGAATACTTGAGCTGTATTGCTGCCATTGCCTTCATAAGTGACCAAAGGAGCAGGGTGAGAGAGGTAAAGGAGGAGGGAGAGGAGTGTGGCCTCCAGCATTTTACCACCCTGATTAAAATTAGTTGTGTAAATGTCTTAGCAGGTAGCTCATTAAAATGTAATAATTGAAAATCTATTCAGTGTTAGAATCTTCAGTGCAGGTACTCTCAGTGAGATGTGGTTCTACTCTTATGCACAATTACTGCCTAAGCTGCTTGCAGTCTCACAAGGCTTTTGGCTTTGTGTCTTCAATGGGTTTGGAAGCAGGTTTGTTTCAGAGATCTCCAGCACAAGTTAAGTGGCTGCACATAGTGGTTGTTCACTGCAGTTGCTGAGAAATGACTCTAGAAGAAACACTCAGTTGGGCAAACAAAGAAAATGCTATTGAGCATATTGTACAGTATTTGTGGTATGTGTTTAGTGCAGAAATCGCACTCAGTGCATTTTTGTTTGTGACATTGAGCAAGTTAAATGACAGCCAACTTCTGCCTTCAACTGCATTTGGAAATTCATTACCATTTCCAAGAAATCACTGATGTTTGAATTATGCAAGAATAGAAGCCTTCCTCTGAAACTGCAGTCAAACTGTCTTTCATTAAACTTTGGGTTTGCAAGTGGTAGAGGAAGGTCTCTACAGTGTTAGACTCTCACTTAAAAAAACAAACAAGTGCATCTGTCTAGTATTAACTGTGTGGGAAGACTGTTGAGGAATGGAGCTTTTCACTACACTTTAGCAATTTTGCCCTGGACATTGCTGACTTCAAGCCTGTAAGCATATAACTCTTGAGTGTCCAGAAAAAAAATTGCAGTTTACTGAAATTAACAAATCAGTCTTTATACATTAGATCTAATGGTTACACTGAGTAAAAGGCAGAGAAGAAATTAACTGAAAACCAGTAAAAAAATAACTGTGAGAGGTGTAATGTGGCTGTGGAAGAAATTAATTGAATACCAGAATATTTTTGAAAAAAATTAGTCTTTATACATGGAATGCAACAGTAGCAATTTGAAAAAAAACAAAGAAACAGGTTTGGAAATCAGAGGTAAAGCTCTAATATCCTTGTTCATGACTGCACTAGAAGTTAATTCAAAACCTAATAATTATTTGCCATCACATTCCAGAGAATTAACTGTTTTGACTCGATCCCTCTTGCTAGTGTAACTTACAGAGGGAAAATAGGTTTTGAGACATCTAAGGTCCAAACTATTCTACTTTTCGTGATTTGCTTGGCCTTGTATCACCAAGTCTGTTTTCCAAGTTGAAGTGCAGAATGAACAGATCTTGGTGTAACTGCACTAGTACAGCTCTAATACACTCTGGGGTCAGAGTTGGAAGAGGAAGGAAAAAGATCTGCTCCCCTTACCTAGGAAGATTGGTTTACAGTTCCACTCAGGTCTGTTAGGCTGATCAGACTTGCCTCTCTGCATGATCCTGAGACAGTCTACTGACCACCTTTCTTCATCCTCAGCTACTAATATATTTTGTAGATACTGCCCTTTGGCAGATTTTGGGTAGCATTATTTGTTGACTACTGGGACTGGGTTGACTCAATGTGATTTTTGCACAGCCTTCAGGACACTGAGAAGTATGTAGAAACAAGACCAAAGAGTAAACTATGGTTGGGGGAATGAGGGAGTGAAAATGCCTTCCTTCTCAGTACTTCAGAATCATTGTGTTGTAGTTTTTTCAAACTAGATTGACAAGCTCATTAAAAAGTTAATCTCATTCAGAATTTCTTAAGCTAGAAATACTCTATTAACACTTTTTTTTTTTTTTTATAAACTGGTGAAGCATACTAAAATTGAATTAAAAGAACTGTTTTATCAGCTATTTAGGGAAAATGCGGGTAAATAAAGTTTTTTAATACAAAGAAATTATTCCTGGGTGCTTGGTGTGAGCTTAGTTTGTGCAAATATGACTCTGTTAGAAACATTAAATCACAATTATGGATGGCTATGGCTTCTGCAAGGTTTAGCTAATAAAAAGTGCCTGCCGAGGTAGATTCTAATGCGTGTGCAAGATGGATCTCTCCTGGGTCAAATGTACATTGTGTTAGCACAAGAAGGACTTCATAAGCCTTTTGCCTGCAGCTGTTTCTCTCACAATTCTTTCCACGTTGGTTGAAACCCTGTTATTATTCAGTTGTTGCATTATCCAGAATTTTGTCAGAATTTAAATTTTCCCAGAATGTTTTACCACCTTATTATTTTATCTTTGCTGGTTTGGGTTTGCCCTTTTTTCTGCTACTGTTTATACTCACATCACCAATGCTGCGTATTTTTTACGTTGGGGTACAAGGCATTTCAGTTAGACACTGTTAGTGTTATGTGTAGCTATAGCATTCTGACATAATTTCTTTTCAATTAGGTGAAAATGAAGTCCTTGAAACTTTATACAATATTGCAAGCAAGAACAAGATATGGCGGTCTTACATAGGCATGGGTTATTACAACTGCTCAGTGCCTCAGCCCATTGCACGGAATTTGTTGGAGAATGCAGGATGGTAATGTACCGCATTTTCTTCTTAAAAAAATGTGTATAAATACACTTTTGAAGTTTGTCTTATGGTTGAGTGTAGACAAATATACCCTGGACCTGTTTGTTGTTTGTTTTTTTTTTTTTACTAAGGCTTTCATATATTTGCTAGCAATGTGTATCCTATTGTGTCAAAACTATGGTGTTCATGCTGGAGCTAGAAAGAAAAAATAATACTTTTGACCTTAGAAGATGCATTTTTTTTCTGTAAAGTGTTACTGATTTTATGACTTCTATTCACAGCCCCTATGTATTATGAACTAATACAAGAATTTTTGTTTGCTTTATGGAAGCATACAGACATAAGTCCTAAAAAAAAGTAATTGTTTTCTAAGTTGTGCCTAAGTTTAAAACAGCTTCCTCCTCCACTGGTGTATGCAGCTTGGGTGGAGGTAAACACTAGGCAATACCCTGATCATGATTTTTTTATGAGGGAGTAAGAAACCTTGAAAATTTTCTAAAGGCTGTTCTTTTGGTATTTCTTTCTTGATTTTTGGGTTTGTTTTTTTTTTTTAAACCAGAGACCTTCAAGGGTTTGAATGTTTTTCCATCAAGTTCTTGTCCAATCAAATAATTTACTGGTGAACAGGAGTGGTACTAAAACTATGGTAATATGATAATTCATTTATGAAGAGGCTGAGAATATTGTACTTGGTTCTGATCACCCAGCTGACTTTTCAGTTTGTAAAGGACTGTAACTCAAAAATGGTGCAACAGGAAGAGCTAAATCTAATGTGGAATCTCTTTTTCCAACAGGCTGAATGTCACTGATACCCTGTATTTTCTCATAAAGTTTACAAGTTCCCCTATCACTAGTCAGTGAGATCCTTTTTTGTACTATATTAAAATGATAACTGTCATTTTTATTACTGGGTAATTTTTATTTTAATAAAAGCAGTATTTAAAGTTTATAAATGTATTCAAAAAAACAATCAAGAAGAAACAACTAACCAAAGGATTACGTTACTCAGTATAAAAATCCATTATTACTTAGACATATTTTTTTATACCTTGAGTTGCCATAAACGTGTCTACATATTTGTAGACCTCTAAGTCTATTTATTTTTAAATTTGTTTGCTCTACTTGCATTGTACATTTTTTAACTGGTGAAAAAGTTGCACTGTTTGGACTTAAGGAACTTAAAGCAGTACATCTATACAAAGCTTTATTTGGCTTTATTTTCACTCACTTTTTGCAACATATACAAACTAAACATTTCAATACAGTACCACAAAACAAGTTTGTAGTTCATAGCGGCAAAGATAAGGACAGTTGAAAACTAGGTGGAACAAAATGAACTGCTTATTTTTAAATCCTAAAAAATGATATAGCATTAATGAAACAACTAGGAGAGTCTGTCCACATATCTGTTCTTGCAGTGTACAGTAAAGTAAAACTAGATGGATAAAAGCTAAACTGTTAGATAGCCAGAGTGAAGGCAAAAATATTTGTTGGAGAAAGATGTATATGTGTATGTGCATATGTGCAAAAGCAACTACACAGGCTTTATGGAAGCTGTTTAAGAAATCAGACCTCTCTGCATCTGCTGTGTGTGTAACACTTTCCATGCTGACACAATTCACTTTGCAGCTCCAAGGAAAATGCTGCAAACTCAGGCTTATTGTTTCTGATCTCTCTCTCTCTCTCATATAACTTGCAGTTTCTGTTACTTGGCATTTTTTAGAGCAAGGCTTGCACTGGTATACAAAATAAGTTTATGAAAGATAGTTCACAGAAGTCAGTTAACACAAAAGTGAATGACTTCACAGTATTTAGGACACTTGGACTTGCAAGGAGAAGGTAGGAAGCAAAGGGGTAGATTTCAGGAGGAAACTTTAGAACCAAATGTATTTTCATCTGAAAATGAGACTGCTGAACCACACTGGGTTTCTTTATAAGGTTAGTTTCCCCAGAAGTCTTCCCAAATATCCAATTCTGTTAAGAGTACACTCAACACATTTATCTTGGAATTTTAACTTTTTGAAGCATTTGGACAATGATTTATATCTCTGTCCACTTCTAACTTATGTTGGAATGTGAATATAACTTCCCAGTTTTCTCTAATTTTACCCTTAGTCATCCTCCCAGCCCCCCATTAACATAGTAATTACATTTTTTCACATTTGATATGCTGAGTTCTTTCCCAAGTAGCATACCAAAATAATTCTGTGCTCTGCCATGAATATATGAATAACTGAAGATGTGAAAATATTTGGTTTCAGAAATCAGCTTAAATGTAGACTTTTTATTAACATACACTGGTCACACCAGTGTAGTATTTATTTTGGGGGTTTAAGTGGATAAAAATACCTATGAGACCTTGAAAATCAAGAAGGCCTTTGAAGTCACACTAATACCATACAATTGAGCATGATGCAGAGGTCTCCTAAATACAGCTCATTTGATTCCTTTGCCCCCTAGACATTAAATATGTAGGAAGAAATGTCTGTACCGACAGGTACAGATCTGTAGTGTAAATTATTAAACTTATTAGCTAGTAACACTCAGTACTTACACGTTACATTCTGAAAATTATTGCATACTGTGCAATAATACTTTTAAAGAGTTTACTTTTAAATTAGTTTAAAAAGTCACTTACCATGTAGCATAAAATCAAGCAGAAGTCAGAATACAGACTAAAACCAGATATTTTGTTTGAAGAAATTGTGGAGATGTACAATATATAAAAGATAGAGATGCTTAGAAAATGCCAAAAAACACAATAGTGTTCGAGTAAGTGGGCTTATGTTAAAAAAGGTGTCTTTACCACTAGAACAGATGAGCTTCATGGACTATAATTTGTGGCAATACTGACATTCAAGATTTCTTGATTGAATTTTTTCTATCTTCCTGAAATTAATTGGTTTTACTTCAACTGTATTTACCATTCAAAACCAGAACATCATAATCATAAATCTTCATTAATGCTGCTTTGTAATACAGTGTACTTTCCCAACCATGTGGAGTAAAATTTCTCTAATGCATTTCAGTTAAACTCAATGCTTTTACTCCTATTAGTCTTAATTCTAGTTCCCCCTGCAAGTTATAATACAAAAAATGTCCCTTAGGTGAAGTAAAATGAGAAAGCACAAGTGTTGACCTCAACTACAGAGGAATTTCTTTCTTTTTTTAAGCAGAAAAAGTCATTGCTCATGCAAAGGTGTTTGGAATAACTCTTTTTTTTGGTGAGAACTGAGTGGGCAGGGACTATTCAGAAAGTGAATCTTAATACTCCCAGACTGAAAGTTTATCTGACACACTGAACACTGGGCGTAGCAGCTGTGGAGAAAAAAACAAAACTGTTGGGATTAGTAACGTTTGCATGCAACCCAGGACACGGTCTCACTTGTGAACTATGCAGTCATGTGATGATAATTAGTTTAGTGTTAAAGTTGGCTAAAAAAGAGAAAACCCCTGCAGTTTGGGGGAAAATCATTGATATTTACATATTCAATACATAGCTATTGCTTTCTGTCACTGTACTGAATAGTATATGTGAATAATTTGAGCAGATGTTTCATTTAAATAGACAGAAAATACATTAGCATCCTGTATTACACTTTGAAATCACATACTGAGTATCGCCTTCTAGCTCTTGTATTCTCTTCAGGTCTTTTTTCTACCTTCTGTCTAGCATTACTATTTTGTTGCTGCTCTCATCTTGCTCTATACCACCTTGTTCTTTAAAAATCTTAGTTGTTCACCTTCTATTGATTTTACATGATTTGAGCTTCCTTAAAACCTATACCTTCACTCATATGCATTTTTCAAAACTCTAGGCTTGCTACCAGCTTTTTAAGGAAAAAAACTGTTGTCTTCTTCCACTGCTAGAAAACAGAGGCCACAAGTGTCCATGTTTACCACTTGTTTCTGTCTGCTACTCTAAATTCGATCTGGCATAAAGTCTGTCCCAAACCGCTGTGGAATCCAATGCCCAAATTTCCAGCAGTGAGAGGAGAGTTTGACCTCTATTCTTGCCTTTCATCCCTGGACCCATGCTGCTTTGTTTTCTGGACTGTTACAATGGAGCATTTCCCTTTGATTCTTGTGTTTTCAAAGGGATTGCTTATGTTGCCACTACTATTTTGTTTGCCAAACGAAAACAGATAAGACTTACATCAGTCTCACTTCCCTCTTCTAACATGTATGGAAACTGTCATTTCACAAGAAACTGCACATTTCTGAGCTTGATTCCATGAGATGACAAGTGCCTTTCTTCCCAGAAGATTGGGGAAAACATGACGAGTAAAAGGTTTAAGAAACAGTACTGAAAGATCAAGTCATACCTCAATTTGATTGAATAAAGCATTCTCTTTTGGATATTGTGACATGATTCAGTTCTCCCACAGTCGATGCCTACTTATCCTATCCCTTCTCCATGGAGCCCTTACACCTCTGTTTTAAAAGCAGTCTTTTTTCAAAATGGAGAAATGAAATTATTCTCCTGTAAAAAGCCAAGTCAACCCTAGAAGACAAACTACTCTCAGGCTTCCAGTACAGTGAAAAATTGCAGTTGTCTAAAAATAACTTGTTTTTTAGCAACAGAACAAAACAGAACAAAATAACAGAGAAAAGATGGTTACTTAAAAACTTTTTAAAGTTCATATTAGTGAATTACACTTTACTATATATTTTTCCTATGACATAGCTCAGTTGCATGTTGGCAGAATTCTGTTACACACTTATTTTCCTAGACCCAAACTCAGGATTTTTTTTCTTACAGGGTTACCCAGTATACTCCTTACCAACCTGAGGTATCCCAGGGCAGGCTGGAAAGCCTGCTAAATTACCAGACTATGGTGTGTGATATCACAGGAATGGATGTGGCTAATGCATCTTTGCTGGATGAGGGGACAGCTGCTGCAGAAGCTATGCAGTTATGTCACAGGTACTGTATTTAAATGTATCACAGTGGGAAGTAATTTTGGAATTTGAAGGCATCTGTGTAGGAATGCATAGATGAATGGGTTGAAGTTGAGTGTGGCCTTTCCACTGTGAACAGATCACTGTATAACTATAGTCCATCTTGCCAAACTCCCAGAGAAGTTCTCAGTGTTGGTGTAAATGTTTAACTTGGACATCTAAGGCCTTAAGAAACTTTATGACCAGAGAAAGGATGGATGGAAGTCTAGAGCAAGGAAAACTTATCCTTCCTGAAGGAGAGTCAGGTTAGAGAACACTTAAGCAAACTGGACGTACGCAGGGTCTTGATGTGATGCAACCATGGCTGCTGAGGGAGCCTTCTGTTATCAGTGCAAGACCACTCTTGACTGTCTCTAAACAACTGGGAGAGGTGCCTCAGCAATGGAGGGGCAGGAATGAAAATGCAGGGAAGTACCAGCAAGGCCAACCTCACCTCGTCTACTCAATGATGGTGGAACAAGTGCCGGTCCTGGAAACCATTTCCAGGTATGTGAAGGACAAGAAGGTGATCAGGAATCACAAGCATGAATTCACACAGTGGAAAGTCCTGTTTGACCAATCTAACGAGTTTCTACAATAAAATGGCTGGATTGGGAGGGAAGAGCGGTGGGTCTACTTTGATGGTCTCCCTTAAATCCCCACAGAGAAACTGAAAATTATGGCTGGGTGAGGTGGGAATGAGGTGGATTAAAAGCTTGAATGTCTGGGCCCAGAGGGTGGTGATCAGTGACATGAATTCTATGTGGAGGACAGTAATTAATGGCATACCCCAAGGACAACACTGGATCCAATCAGTGATGTGGATGATGGGGCAGACTGTATCCTCAGCAAACTTGCTGATGATGCAGAACAGAGAGGACCAGCCGATACACCAGTGGGTCGTGATGCCATCCAGAGGGGCCTTGACAGGATGGAGAAAAAGGGGTGACAGGAACCTTGTGAAGCTCAACAAGAGGAAGTGCAAAGTCCTGCACCTGGAGAGGAACAACCCCAGGTGTATGGGATACATGATGGGGGCTGGCAGGCTGGAAGGCAACTTTGCTGAAATGCCCTTAGGGTGTCCTGTGGGACACCACATTGAACACAATTCAGCAGTGCAAAAAAGCCAACAGTCTCCTGGGCTGCACAAGCAGGAGGAGTGCTGCCAGAAGGACAAGGAGGGACCCCTCCCTCTCCTCATCGTGGTGAGTCCACATCCTGCAGTGCTGTGCCCAACTCTGGGCTCCCCACTACAAGAAAGACATGGACATACTGCAAAGAGTCATCTTGCTCTGCCCGTGGTACCAGCCCAGCTATGGGTACTTCAGTTGCTGTGCTATGGACATGCAGGTCTTTCTTGTTCTGACTCCATTTGCTATCACCCAGACAGACAGAGAGATAGATACGCACACACACACACACACGCACAGAGAATACAGAGTCCCCTCACACGTGAAAGGAATCAAAAAGGCATTTAACCAGAAGAGAGACAGACTTCACTGGTTGAGTGGAAGTGCGTAAGCCACCAGGTATTTGTATGAGCGTGGCCTAGTTTATCCCCTTACTTCTATTTTCTTACACATGTTGCTCCCAAAAATCATTTGACTCTATTATTTTTCCTCTAAACATCTCATAGTAAGCCCTTGCAATCCCAAAATGTTCTCTCATGCATGCCGTAATGTCTACTCCCCGGGGAGGGTGGCACCTAGAGGGTGCGTCTGTTTGGGTTAATTAAATAATTAAGAGTTCCCACCTGTCTTGCAGCCTCTTTGCTCCCCTGTGCTTGTGGAGGTGGGTCTCTGTTGGGCTAACATCTGTAGAGGGCCTGGGAGCAGCAGGAACGGGGTGTTGTTTGGGTTCCCTCACCTGCCATTGCATCCGAGGGGAGTGCAGAGGACCTTTTATCACCTAACCGACTGTGGCATGAATCTCTTGTGTTCATGAAAATTGAAGATGTGCGTTTTCTTTTTCCATTGGTGTTTAAAAAGCTTTAAAAACTGGTGAAGTGCATTGTTCCTAAGTTGACAAAAGTGAAATTGTTATCAATATATCCAAATCTACTTTCAAAGATGTGTGTTGTAGGGGCATTTGAAAGGGACCTGCAAATCAAAGGAAATGATTGAAGGCCACTGTAGCACTGTGTGTCAGAAAACAGATTTACGCAGCGGATACTGTTTTGTAGCGATTCGTTTGTTCAAAGCCTCAGGCTGACACAAAATTGTGTTTACCAGAGAAAACTAGGGAATTGTGTTATCATAGAATCATAGAATGGTTTGGATTGGAAGGGACCTTAAAGATCATCTAGTTCCAACCCCAGTGCCATGGTCAGGGATACCATGTCTTCTCAGTCTCCATTTAACTACTTGGATGGCTCATGTTTATTTATCCAGGGCAACACTGAAAATCTGTATTAAAGACCACAGTTGTATTCCTTTAAAAGAGTATGTGTGTGGAGCCATTCCCACAGCTTCTGAAAGTGGCGTCTTGTTTTGTTTCAGTCTTAATTTTTGTCACGTATGAGTCTCATTTGAGTGTCTGAAATGAACTTTCTTATTTAAATGTGTCAGAACCTTCATTCAATCTTACACTTAATTTGGTTATAATAACCAATATTTACAACTGCCTTTTAACATAGTAAAACACACTTGTAGAAAACAAGCTAATTTTATTTCCATGGGAAATATAACCCTTGATATATAACTCTTCTTTTTCCTTTTTTCAACAGACACAACAAAAGAAGGAAGTTCTATGTAGATGCCCGATGCCACCCTCAAACTATAGCAGTGGTTCAAACCAGAGCAAAGTAATATTTTTCTTCATTTTCCATCTTATCTTTTCACTTACACTGTATCGTTTTTCATCTGTGCCTCTTCACCATATACCTAGCATTTTTGGACTATAAGGTTATGCTTTCATTGCGAAGTGGAAGCAGAAATCTCTCATCATTTGATATTGTTTTCCATTTAAATACAACTGCAAAGAAATTAAAACAACTTAAAAAAAAGACTAAACATACGATAAAAAGAAAATATTTATTTTTCCTCCTAATTTGTTGCACAAATATATTTGATTGTTGAATTCAGTCTGGTCTTTTATTTTTTTACTAGGAAATAATTACCCTAGATAGCAAATCTTCTCTTTTAATGAAAGCTAGATCCTTTTGAAGTTTACAATTTGCAGTAACCATCTTCTAGAAATGTGACTTAGTTCTCAAAGTTAAACATGTTAAAGGAGCAAAATTTTGATATCAAGTATCTTATGCATCCTCTGCTTTGCTTTGCTTTGCTCCATATTTCCAATGATGATGTCAAATGCAATTACTCTTCAGTACTACACACCATGACATGAAATTTTCTCAATGTTTAGTGCTGCAAAGCATACTCAACTCTCTGTATTTAAAGAGAAAAGTTATATATAAGTCCATGAGAACATTTTATTAAGTATCACTCCAAGGTGAGAAGTGGCGTGAATATGTTGCCTTCTGCATATTTTTGTTTCCAGTTATACGGGTGTTATTACTGAGCTCAAATTACCCCACGAGATGGATTTCAGTGGAAAGGATGTCAGTGGAGTGTTATTTCAGTATCCGGATACTGAAGGGAAGATTGAAGACTTCTCTGAACTTGTTGAAAGAGCTCATCAAAATGGGGTAAAGTAAATTTTATTGGTCTGACTCATTACAATCTGATGCGTCAAACAGCCATATTCATAAAAACTATATGTTACATGACATACTCTCTCAGTTCATCCAACTGATAACCTTTACAACCATTACAACCAATGCATTTCAGCTCTGTGCAAGTGATATGGAACTGTTTGAAGCCATATTTAAAAATTTAACTCCCATGCAAACACCATTGCCTCAGAAAAGAGGCTGACTGCTCTGTGCACTTCTGTTCCCAGACTCTCGCCTGCTGTGCTACTGACCTTCTGGCTCTCTGTATTCTGAAGCCTCCTGGAGAGTTTGGGGTGGATGTTGTCCTGGGTAACTCCCAGAGGTTTGGTGTGCCACTGTGCTATGGGGGACCCCACGCAGCGTTCTTTGCTGTCAAGGAGAATCTAGTGAGAATGATGCCAGGCAGGATGGTGGGTGTTACAAGGTAAGGGCTTCCTTCACCATCTCATGCCTTCAGTGAAAATTGAAATCATAGAGTCCTTAAGGTGGAAAAGACTACCAAAACCATCAAGTCAAACTGTCAACCCAGCACCTTGTTTACCACTAAACCATGTCCTCTCCATGTGTGTTTTGAACTCTTCCAGGGATGGTGACACCATCACTTCCCTGGGCAACCTGTTCCAATGCTTTACAACCCTTTCTGGGAAAACCTTTTTCCTAAACCACCCTGGTACAACTTGAGGCTGTTTCCTCTCATCCTGTTACTTGGGAGAAGAGACCAACCCTCACCTCACTACAACCTCCTTTCAGGGAGTTGTAGAGAGCAATAAAATCTCCCCTCAGTGTTCTTAATAATGCATAAGAAGCCATAATAAACCCCATTGTGACCATCTTGTGGTGAACAACAGCTGACCATGGTGCTGTACCAAACACGTCTTCCTTGAAAACTGTAAGAATAGAGGTTGCCTTCAGTTTTGAGGAAGCAAGCTTCAAGAATTCTGTCTGTGTGGAATGAAGCTGTGAACTGTCTATAATGCTTGTGGCAACGTGGGATGAAAAGATAACCAAAAGCAGAGTGGATTCATTGTGATAGCATGAGGCATTGCTTTAACTTTTTCCGCTTATTCTGTACTGTTACACTTTTTTCTCTAACATCCAGTCTTACAAAACAGAAATGGAAAGAAGTAGAAAATTCAGGGAACCTCCAAAATAATCAAGAACGAGTTTAATCTAGTGCAGACTTTAGTCTCACTTAAACAAAGCAGAGAAATAGTGTGCAAAATCTTGCCTCTGATTCTTGTTGTTGGTGATGTATCGTGTATTTTGACAAGATGTCTAACTCGTAATAATTGAAATACAAAGCATTTGTCTGTGGAAAGACTGCATATGTTTGGCACAGAAGCTATTTGGAAGTACTTCAGTAACCAAAATAACAAGCATTTACGGTTGTCAAAAAGGCTTAGAAATATTTAATTTATATAGTAGTATTTTTTCTTCATCTTTCTGCATCTCAAGAAAGTTGGAAAAGAAAAAGTTAAAATGGATAAAAGCTCTGATACTTCCTCAATGCACCTTTCTGCCAGGGATTTTTTCAAGACTTAGATCACAAGATCACAGAATGATTGACAGGTTCTCTGGAGGCGATCTGGTCCAACACTCTGCTAGGCTGGGTCAGACAGCCTAGAGTCAGTAGCCCAGGGTGGTGTCCAGGTGTCTCTAATATCTCCATGAAAAGAGACTTCAGTTTCTCTGAGCAAGTTGCTAGTTGCTAAGTTGCCAGTGCTTAGTCACCTTTACAGTGAAAAAACCTCATGTTCAGAGGGAACCGCCAGTGTTTCAGGTTGTGTCCATTTCTATTGGTCCTGTCTCTGGGCACTGCTGATCAAAGCCTGGTTCCATCCTCTTTGCGCCTTCCCTGCGGGTACTTATGTACTTTAGTGATGTCCTCCCTGATTCTTCTCTCAGCCTTTCCTCATGGAAGAGGTGACCAAGTGTCTTTGACATCTCTGTGGTCCTTCATTGGACTCTCTCCAGTTCCTTTGTATTGCTCTTGTGCTGAGGAGCACAGAACACAGCATTCCAGGTGAAACCTCATCAGTCCTGAAGAGAGGGCAGGGATCACCTCCCTTGTTGGCAGTACTCCTCCTAATGCAGCCCAGGATACCATTTGCTTTCTTTGCTTCCTTTCCTGGGCAGATTGCTGGCTCATGGTCAATCTGATGCCCCCCAGGACCCCCAGGGGTTTTCTGCCAAGCTGCTTTCCAGCTGGGCGGCCCCCAGCATGTACTGGTGCATGGAGTTCTATGCCAGCTGCAGGACTTTTTCCACTTCCCTTGCTGACCTTCATGATGTTCCTGTGATCCCACTTCTCCACCCTGTCAAAGTTCTTCTGGTTGGACTGCTGGCAAACCGAGCTGCATAGCATATCTGAGGAGCCATGATGTAAAACAGAAATCTAGAGACTTTGGTCTTGCTGTTTGGTGTCGCAGCTGTCCTGATTTATGCATTATTCTCTCCAGCACTTTTCTGTCTCTGAGGATAGATAAATAGTTTCAGGCTAGCATGCGTAAAGCCCAGTGTCCTAAATTACTGCAATTTTAAAGTAACAGAAGCAACATTTTTGCTTGTAACTTAGAGATGCAAGTGGAAAGGAAGTGTACCGACTTGCTTTGCAAACACGCGAGCAGCATATCAGGAGGGATAAAGCTACCAGCAACATCTGCACAGCACAGGTATTGTGCCTTATTTTATGCCTTATATGTATGCCATATTTTCAGTGATAGAAAGGAATGAGTTGAACAACCTCAGTTAGCTTTGCTTTTGAGAGTTTTTACTAGAAAAATTAAGGACATTGAAATATTCTGGTTGTTGTGCATTTGTTTGAGTTCTTTGAAAAGTAGATCTGCTTGAAAAGAGATATGTTTCCTTTAATAAGGACCATAGTCCTGAATTCTTGCAGTGTCGTGAATCCATCTGTCTTGTAGCATTAACACTACTGAGTAGTGCTGTGTTATAAATGAGACAGATTTCGTATTAAAACAGCAGGGAATTCCAGTGATCTGAAATTTCCCACTCAAGGCAAGAGAAATGAGCTTTTAAAATCTAGAACTCATTGTTCAAATTGTCACAACTTGTATTTTTGTGTGATTTGATGTGAAAATCAAATCACACAGACAAATATCTCACCAAAGAGAGATATTTACAGAAAAACACCATGATTAACTGAGTAATTATCCAAAAGAGTTATCTTCAGCATGCCTCCACAGACTTTCAGCCAGACAAGGTCATAACTTTTTTTGCTCCTACCGTTGCTTTGCTTATGCTCAAGTTTTGAGGAGAGTTTATTAATATTAAAACAGGCTTAATTACTTAGTATTAATGACATACGCCGTGACTTTTTTTGTACCATTACTAAACAGTGGGTTCTTGTGAGACTGGCTTGACTTGATAGTCTTCAAACATCTGTGTTGCATTAGTTAAATTTAAGCACATGTTAACTGCTGACATATTTACATTTCAAAGGGCACTGAATTCATAATCAGAGCTGACAGTTTCATAAAAGTATTTTACCCTTCCCTCCTTTTATTTTGTAGGCAACACATAATCAGCTGTAACATCAGCTGAGGATATGTAGTTGTCTCTTGTTCTAAAGAAACATTCCACTAAACTAACATTAGGTAACCTTTGCTAACAGGGACTTTAACAATAAGAATGTCCTAAACTGTATTTGGATCCTAGGCTCTTCTGGCCAATATGTCAGCCATGTTCGGTATATACCATGGGTCTGATGGATTAAGACATATTGCGCGACGGGTACACAATGCTACTCTAATCTTGGCTGAAGGTGCGTATTTAATGTTTGCAGAAACTGTTATAAAATCATTACCCCTCCTTAAATAATACATCCTTCTATATAAGCTCTTGTTTTTTTGGGGGGTGGGGGGAGATGTTGCCAGCTGATGTGTGTTCTCTCGAGTGGAGAGAGACCCATTTTAATACAAACTTCACTGCTGATGTCTTTCTGTACTTCTCATAATGTAGTATCAGATATCTATGTGATAGGAACTTGGAGGCATTACCTCAGTTTCCTTGGGAAACTAGCAGAAGACTACAGAATGAGTGTCTAGATGATACTGTTGAAATGCCGTTTGCCAGCTGCTACTTCACTTACTGGACTGTTCTAGTTTACACACAGAAATCTGCACAGAGTATTAATAACATAGCAAAAGAAAGTAACTGATGATACTGAAGCAATAGAAACATTTCAGTTAAATTGGGTGGAGTATTGTACCTGCTATGAACACTGAAATTCCAAAGCTTAACAGCTGACCAAAAGCACAGAATCTGTTGCAGGAAATGATGATTGCATCAGGACCATGTGGTCTGGTAGGCTTTTTTTCACTGGGATGACTGTCATTGCTGTCGGAAGGAGCTATGCAAAACTGGAATGATTGGAATTAAAGGATTATTGCCACAAATATTCATGCTTTATTTGCCAGTTTAGTTGGAAGACCTTTTGCTACTGTGAAAAGCACTAAGGCTCTAAACTTTGTTGTGGCAAACTCTGTGGCAGTTAATATCCATTCACATAATGTAACTTTTCTTTCCAGTGTAATGATTTTGTCTTTATTCCATTTATATATCAACTCTGCTGCTGTATGTGTTACACATTTGATGTATCAGAAGGATCTACCCTAGACTCATTATTAAGTCATTATTAATTAGATCTGAATTTGACAGAGGTACATTTCATACACAGTGATATTTCACTAAAAAGTTGGTGATTTTGCTGATCTTTACACAAGGGGAATATTTTGCTTTATTATGCAAAAGTTTTTATTTATGAGATAGATAGACGGTGTGGTTATTCAATTACTGTGTGAGTGAGAAATACAGTACGCATATAAGAGAATTAATTTTCTGTTTTTTATAGGTCTCAGACGAGCTGGTCATAAACTACATCATGATATGTTCTTTGATACCTTGACAATCACATGTGGATGCTCAGTCAAAGAGGTTTTGGACAGGGCAGCTCTTAGAAAGATAAACTTTCGAATTTATAGTGATGGCAGAGTAAGCAATTTTCTAAAACTTTGATAAATTCAGAAATTTTGCAGTATGACTTTTTCTTCATTAGGTTTCTAAACATTACATGCAGTAAATGGAACAAAATTATTTAAGACCTTGCAATTTGCTCAGATATGTCAGTCAGTTATCAAGATAATATAAAGAATGAACTTGTTAAGTGATGCGCTTCTAGAAATAATAATTGTATTTTCCTTTTATGCCTGTTAAAAAAAGATTACATAATTTTTTCATGTGAATTACGCTACTAAGGGGTAGAGTAGAGAGACTCTAAAACTTAATGATGAAATACAAGGTGACATCCAGAATTCAGGTCCTGTGACAGTGTTTAAAAACAGACTGAAACCTAAACCCCATTTTTTAGGCACCAAGGGCTCTTGGCAAAGTGTAGAATGTTCTGTAAATTGGGATGGGGGGAGGGGGTGTCATAACAAAATGGGCAATTTTCCTATTAAGTGGAAAACTCTCAGAAGCATTAGAAGGGAGATCACAAGTCTCAAAGCTTCTGAACCATTTGGTTTAGATGGTTTAGCTGGGAAAAGGAAAGAATTGGGAAATTTTATGTAAATAAAATAAATTCATGTATATTATGTAAAATGAAGTGACATTTATATATGGGTAGATTGATTGGTTTTTTCCCTTTTTTTCCCTCCTGTGTTTCTGGAATAATTTTCTTGACCAGAACAAGTGTACTCTAGAATTAACAGCTTTGAGTAATTACTGTTGTTTTTATCTATAGCTTGGAGTATCACTTGATGAAACTGTAAATGAGAAAGACTTAGATGACATATTATGGATTTTTGGTTGTGAATCTTCTTCTGTAAGTACATAATAGATTGTACAGTTTAAATTATCTGAATGTTTCAGAAGTTTAATGGAAATCAAAACTGCTGTTGGGACATTTGGTGTCTATATGATGACCATTTGTTAAATACTGAGTATTTCAGATCCTCTCTTAAAGAAAAAGGCAGTGTTAGATAACAAGGATTTATGTAGTGCCGTTTTCTGATTGTGACACTTAGTTCTTCCAGTTAGCTTGGACACCTGGCATTTCGGCTGTTCCTTCTTTTGTGAGAGTTAGGACGTGGTGGTCAATTATTCCTTTCCCACTATAATTTTTGTTGCATGTCATTAGTAATTAGCAGCAATACTTACAAGATGAGGTCTACTGAGACATCTGTACCCATTTTTAATATAATGCTGTTGTCATGCTAGATATGTATGTATGCTAGTAAAGTTGGGGGATTTTACCTTAAAAGCTGACGAAAAAAACCTGGCTTAAAAGCTGACTAAATCTCAAAGTAAACTGGTAGTTTAAATTTAAGCTAGTTCTGATGGAAATTTTTTATGAAAAAGTAAGTTTTCATTAAAGTGTTTAACTCTGTTTCTCTGTGTTGAAGGAGCTGATTGCTGAGGGTATGGGCGAGGAAACCAAAGGCATCCTCAGCACCCAATTTAAGAGAACTTCAAAATTTTTGACGCACCAGGTTTTCAACAGGTTTGTGAAACAGCTCGGTATTTGGTGTTTTATGGTATTATCTGAACATATCTCCTTTCAAAAGCAGTAGTGGAGTCAGCTGAGAGCAGTTTTGTACCTGGATTTAAATAGTTGCTCCTTACTCTGCAATAATCTATTTAGTAGCATTTTTAGATCTCTTTTTCATATTAAATGAGCAGAGCAGTACTCGTGGTCGCATTGGAAATTTATTTTTCCACTAATCTGCTACACTGTGCAAGGTATTATTGGAGGATGTAGTATCAGCAGACTTACTAGAGCCCTTATATTCCATATTCACTGACAGCATTTCTGAGATGGTAGTAGGCATTTTTAATCCACGTTACTATTAGCAAGCTTAAAATGCCAGTTCTAGTATATATCAATAGCTATCCTCAGTCTTACTTTTTTATTTATGTTTTTTCTTATGTTAGCTGCTGGTATAGCTAATCTGCTTGCCTTATCACTACATTTTGTGTTCTCCAGCTATCACTCTGAGACAAATATCGTGCGGTACATGAAAAGATTAGAAAACAAAGATATTTCCCTTGTTCACAGCATGATTCCTTTGGTAGGTATTTAACAAAAAGAGAAAACATTAGGCAATTACATACGCCTTTATGTATTTCAATAAATACTGATAAGTGTGTTTGTATTTTCAGGGATCCTGCACAATGAAGCTCAATAGTTCAGCTGAACTTGCAGTAAGTAGCAATAATACTGTCTCAACTGAAACCACATGAGTAAACTATCTAGCCAGTGTCATTGCAGAGAAGTAAAGACTGCTCTTGGTTAGTACTCCAGCTGAAGTGTTACTTTCTGGAGTAACTAGTCATCCACTCCCATTTCTGCCAGGAAAAGAGTTGTGAAAAGCACAAGTAGGAGTACAACAACAGTAAGAGAGTGAGTGGATTTAGAGGCTCCATTTTGAGTAAAATAATTTTTGGAATGAGATATCATAGTCTTGTTCCCTCATGCAATGTTGCAGTACCAAATTCTGTCTGCTTTACAAATCTTAGAATCAAATACTCAAAAATAGGGAAAGAGTCAGGCTGATTCATGCTTTGTTTTCAGTTTGCTGCTTGTTAGCATATCCCACCTTTTCCTCACGTGAATATCGTCATTTTTCTAGCTGATAGCAGCCACTCTGAGTACCAAATTACTTCTTGACTCTGAATGAGCTTCTTCTGCTCTCTCTCCCTGTTGTATTCTCACTTTGATCTTTCACTAGATCTCCTTTGTCCTCCTTCTCTCACTGCCTTCTCTCTTTCCTTTCACTGTTTTCTGTCTTGTATATTCCCTCTAATTAAAATAAGTAGCAACAAAATGTTATGTTCTATTCCACACAACTCCTCTCTGTTCACCTTGTGATCCTACAGCTCTACATAAGGGTAGGTGGTGTAGTGGGAGAAACTAAGGATTTTTAAGCATATTCTGAATGTTAAAAATAGGTTTACTGGAAATTATAGAATCATTTCAGTTGGAAAAGACCTTTAAGATTGAATCCATCTGTTAACTTGTTACTGTGAAGTCCATCACTAAACTATGTCCCTAATCACTGAATCTACTTATCTTATAAATATTTCCATGGTTGTTGACTCCAGCAGTTCCCTGAGGAGGCTGTTCAAATGTTTGTTAACGCTTCTTACGAAGAAATTTTTCCTAATATTTTTCCAGTCCTAATCTTTTGTCCTATCTCCAGGGGCCAGAACAAGGACTTTTGTCCCAGGAAAGTGGTCTCTACCTCCATATAGCCTTCTTCTCCAGCTGCATCCTTTGCTTTCTTACCCATTCTTTCTTTGCACCTTTCTTCCACTCTTTCTTCCTCCCTTTCTCTAATTTCCCTCTCTCTCCTCTCTTCAGTGTAACCCTTATTAAAACACACCACCATGGGCTTCTGCTAGAGCATAAGAGACTAACACACCAATTTCCATACCGAGCATATGATTTAAGTATGTAAGTTTCTTTTGCAGACCCTCTGATTTTTGTTGTTCCTTTTTGACCACGAGCGTCTGCAAATCTTGGGTGCTTCCTTCCCCTTAAGGGTGGGATGCCACATTTTCATTGGCATTTCTGCACCCTTGGGTCACAACAACCCCAAGCAGCACTACAGGGTGCAGGGTGAGAGCAGAGTGCCTGGAAAGGTGCCTGGAGGAAAAGGACCTGCGGCTGCTGGTCAGCAGTGGCTGAACATGAGCCAGCAGTGTGCCCAGGTGGCCAAGAGGACCAATGGCATCCTGTATCAGCAATAATGTGGCCCTGATTCTCCTATCAGGGAAATGATCTTCCCCACTACTCAGCACTGGTGAGGCCACACCTCAAATCCTGTGTCCAGTTCTGGGCCCCTCACAGCAAGAGAGAAATTGAGGTCTCGGAGCATGTCCAGAGAAGGGTAACAAAGCTGGTGAAGGGTTTGGAGCACTGTCATGGGTTCACGTGGCTGAATTTTAATAGGGGGCCATTTACACAGTGTGCTCTAACCAACAATCTTTGGTTAGCTCCGCAGCTATCTGGCTGTCAGTGTTTGGGACACCTTATCTTCTAGGCTTCTACATCACCCTATGGTTCAAACATCAATATATGGACCTGGTGATCTGCTAGAAGGAAAAAGAACAGAGAGAGAAAGAGAGAGAGGCAAATGCATTCTCTAAGCCATTTCTAAGCTTTGGAGGTAATCTCTTCATAATACTCAGGTCTTGATATGTAATCCAATTACCAAAATAAAAAGCTAAAATGTTAACATTAAATCAGTTTACATTAAACCTTGCTAAACCCCATACCACTGACCTGTCCAGATCCTTCTGTAGCAGCTTCCAAACCTCCAGCAGATCAATGCTCCCACCCATTTTGGTATTCTTTCCTTCACAGAGTTTAACAAGAAAACAGAGTTGTTTGCAAAGTATTTTATTATAGCATTTTTGGTTTTGTTTTTATAGCCTATTTCATGGAGAGAGTTTGCCAACATCCACCCTTTTGTGCCCCTGGATCAAGCTCAAGGGTATCAGCAGCTTTTCAAGGATTTAGAGAAAGACCTGTGTGAGATTACTGGCTATGACAAAATATCCTTCCAACCAAATAGGTAGGAATTTTTTTCTGAACATTAGCATCTAAACATGATTCAAAAAACTTACTTCTGACAAAAATGTGCTAGCCAAAAATGGAAGAAATTTCTAAAATTAAATTTGCTTTGAATGCAAGATTATGAAAGCAAATAATTTGTTTGGGTTTTTTTTTCAGAGAATACAGCACCTTATTTTGTCTTGTATGTTCTAAGAGTTTAGAGATTCGATCTTTTAAAATTTTTTAATATTTCATCCCATGTTTTCGTCTCTGTGAATGTTTCTCCACCATTGCTTGTGTAAAATGGTGGTGTTATTGGTATTCTCCTATGAGCTAAAAATAAAGATGTGAAATAGGAATAAGCTGTATGAACTTCCAACTGTGTAATTGTTGAAATTGGTGTTTGATGCACTAGGTTTTACTAAAGAATGCCTAGGATCTGCATGCTCACTGAAATAAATACAGCAGCACTGAATGATAAATGCAGCCTGTTTATGTCCATTAGCAGTTTTGATACAAAATGAGCAGCAAGAAATTACAGTTAGGATGTCACTGAAAGACTTCCTATGTTTCATTGTGTTTCATTTAGTTTGCTGACACTTGCCTAAAGTCATTGGTAAGGATTAGGGCTGAACAATTTTGAAGTTTTGGCAGAGAGCTGGCACTCTGTGGTTTGTGTGCTGTGTAACAGTGTTTGTGTTCCTCTTGCAGTGGAGCCCAAGGAGAGTATGCAGGCTTGGCTGCAATCAAGGCTTATTTAAATGCTAAAGGAGAACGTCATAGAACTGTAAGTGTCAACACTCGTTGGGGAAGAGCTTTGGGTGGAAAGTGGAGAAAGGAAAGTTGATTCAGCAGCTGGGAGTCACCTAGAGAGAAATCAAGTAGTGTATCCTCACCTGTGACAAGCTTTCAGTATTCCTTGCTTCCCTCATGAATCCTGGGTACCATCTTAAAAGTTTTTACAGAGAGTGAGAATGAGAAAGGGAACTCCCTGAAAGGGGGATTGTACTATGTCTGGCATCGACGGACTTAACTTTCTCTGTAGCAGCCCATATGGTGCTGTACTTTGTGCTTAAAGCACTGTTCATAATACAGGAATCTGTTGGCTACTGGTGAACAGTGCTTTCACAGTGTAGGTGCTTTTTCTTTATCCCACTGCCCTGCCCTGACCCTGTCCTTTCCCCATCAAGGAGGCTGGGTGTGGGCAAGAGGCTGGAAGAGACACAGCTGACCCCAGCTGACCAAAGGGATATTTTATGCCATATAATGGCATGTGCAACAATAAAAGCTCAGGGAAAGCAGGGAAGGTTATAACTATGGCATTTTAATTCCCAGGCAACCTTTACATGTGCTGGACATGTGGCCAGCCATGGGAAGTAATGAATCAATTTAATAAGAGCAGGTGCTGGTTGCTACCATAGTAGCGCACTGGTAATATATTGCACCAACCAAGGTGTCCTGGTTACCATCCGTAAATTGATTCATCTACTGGAGAGCCAAGGAGGGATAAGCAAGACTTAATAACCCTTAAATAGTCCTGTAAGATCAATGCAAAAAGTCTGACAGTGGGTGGAAATTAATAGTGGACTATCTGCCACCAGCAGTGAGTGCTGCCATGTGTGACAAGCTAAAACTCACATAATTAGTGGGATTCAAAGGCAGCCAAGCAGTGTGCCACAACTGATGATGCAAAAGCATTTTTCTTTATCCCATTGGCACCGGAGACTAGACCACTCTGTTTCTGGCAGTTTGTGGCTGTGTGTCCAGTACATCTGGAACTGACTGCCCCAGGGCTGAAAGCACATCTCTACCTACCTGTCAGTCTTTGACTGATACAGACTGCCTTGGAACAGGGTGAAGTCCTTGAACACCTGCAGTACAGGGATAGGCACCATTGTATGGGGCAACACAGCCATACTGGAATCATCTGAGGAAGGGTAAAAATAATTCAGACCATTTGGAAAGCTGGTTTTGCCATAATAACAAAGTATAAGAGTTCTTGGGACTGAAACAGCAAGAACACCCCTGGGGCTGCAGTCAGTTACATAATAACTGTAACCCCACCAGCTTTCCCTTCCCTAGAAAGGAACATAGCTTGTCTAGGTATTGTGGATTATTGGAGAATGTGTGTGTATGCCAGGTTACAGTCAGCTTGAGAGCCCTTTCTGCTGAATGGCCCTAAAGAAGAATTATTTTGACTGAGGTTCTGAGCAGCAATGGATCAAAGAGAGGATAGTTTGTATGGTAGCCCTTGGGTGCCTATCCAGGTGGGAACAACTGTGAGAAAAGTACTCCACATTTCAGCTGGGGAGCCTTTAGAGTTTTGGAGCTGGAGGTACTGAGGATCTAAGATTTACTGCACTCTGAAAAAGAGATAATAGCAGTGCTTTTGGGGGGGGTAAGCTGCTTCAACGGTTACTGGTACAGCACAACTTCTCTTGCACCGCGATCGTCTGTGCTGCACTGGATATTCTGATTATGCATTTTTCTACAGTTAAATCTAATGAGGAAGAAATGCTTGTCTTATGAGGAAGCTTCTGGTATTTACAGCATCCTAGAGAAAACATTCTGTGGCTTCACCACCCATTATTGTATCATTCTTCATAATAAATGCTTTCTCTTTACTTTTTTGAACTTGACATGCTAAAGTTTCATCTAACACCCTCTCACTCTCGAAAGATGTTGAACAGTTTTTCCATGTTCATAATTGACATACCATGTTAATTCTGAGATTTTTTTATTTATTCTTATCCATCCTCATTTCTGTCCTTTGAGTTGGATTCTAGTTATTTGTCTACCCTTCTCAAAAAAGCCATCTCATAACTTTATCTTCAGAGCTCCTGTGTTCCTTTTACTTTTTTCTCTATTTCCTTTCTAGTTTTTGATGCAGTTGTTTTCTTTTCCATCAACAGTGCAAGATCTTTTGAGTAGCGACGGTTTGAAAACTAAGGATCGCACTTTTGAGTTGTTCGGATTTGTTTTCTTATGTAATGCTCTCGATCAGTCTGGTTCCAGTATATATATACATTTTTGAATGCTGCTGTTTTGGATTGTAGGCCCTTTTTTGCACTATGCAGTCAGTTCTTTTAGTGACCTGGGGGGTTTGGTATTAACAGGATATTTGGCATTTCACTGTGTGTCTCCATTATAAACCCAATTATGAGTAATTTTAAATGCTAAAGAACCAGCACAGATATATGTAATATTCTATTATGATGACCTTTCATTTCAGTGAAAACTGACTGGATCTTTTAGTTTCTTTTCTGTGTTTCCATGAAATATGTATCCACGTGAACCTTCCTATTTACTCCCTTGGAAGTTAGTTTAGAAACATTTTTGGGACCACAGCAAAAACTTCTTGGAAATCTGAGATTAGTTAGATCTTCTTCTTTCACACACTCACAGAGTTGACTTTAAACAATAGGAAGAAAGTCCTCAGTGCAATAACATCCACATTTTCTGAATATGATTTTATCCTCTGCTTTGGGACTTACTTGCCTTCTCAAAATGAAAGAGTTGTTGTCCTGACCTCCTGGAAACTATAGACTATATGCGAGGAAACTACATAAAATTAGTTAAGTTATTCTGTCTTTGTTTCTTTGAAGTATCCAGATCACCTCAAACTCCTTGGAAATCAGCCACTCTTTACAATTGCAAGCTTTGTTTTGTGAGTAGTTTTACTCAAGAGGAAGTGAAATTAGGTTAAAATTTTATTCCTCTGACAGTTGTCTTCTTATTGTCCATGTATGCTTTGCTGTGGCTTGTATTCTGTGCAAGATCCTTGGGCTTCTGTGAGTGTCTGTGATCCCTCTGTGCTCCAAAATACCCAGAGGCTGACTGCACAGGAGAGAGAGCCTGGGGTGCTTGCAGTTACCCATGCGTTAAACATTTCCAATGTCACAGTAAAATAAAGATACTCTTGGGAAAAAATAAAATGAGAAAGCTCACTGAATGTTGACGTTTCCGCTGAAGTGACCTTTTTTCCTGGGCTGGAAAAATAACTAAACCAGCAGTTCAAGCCTCTTGCAGTTGGCCTCGTTTGGATGTGGTGCCCTCTTGTGGGACAGAAGCATGGACGTGAACTGACGAGTCTCATCTCTCTGCTTTGTTGCCTGATCAATAACATCTGTGCCCAGCAGGACTGGGTGGCCATCTCGACTTGCTTTACATTTCTGCTGTGCAGCTAAAATGGCTACAGATGTGGCACAGGCCTTCCTGGCACGGGGGCTGCGATCCCTGTGTTTCCTGTGTTCTGAAGTAATTAACATTTGTCTCAGCATCCTAATGGAACAAGTTCCATGAACCATCATGCAGTTTCTCATGGAAACAAAGTGCCTTACAGTCATTCTACAAAGCTAAGTCTGAGTAATTTAATAAACTGAGTTAAATCTTTCCAAGAGAACTATAATAGACAAATGTTTCAATATCCTCATTGAATAGAAGCAAAGGATTTGGGGTTTTTTTAGAGAAAATATATTGTCTTTAGAAGGGGTAGAATTCCTAGCAAATGTCTGGATATATCCTGGCCTCCATTTTCCTGTCACTAAGAAGAGCCTACTTTTATTTAAGTACTTCTATTGTTTTCTTTTTACATTAACAGTATAGAGCATATAAGTAGCTCTCTAAAAGTTCTTATCTATAGCCAAAATATTTCAGAATAAATTTTTGTTTTGAGTGGAATACACAAGAAAATGCTTTGGAAGTCAGAAGTTGTTGTGGAAAATTTGGAATTAGTTTTTCCTTTCAAGTCATTGTATGTGTGGAGACTGATTACTTAAAAAAAAATTTAGTCTTTAAAAAAAAAACGGTGGGGTGAGATGAAAGGACTTTTAATGTGAGTATCTGAGGTAATATTCTGGAACTGCAGCCCTAAATATGATTATGTAGCAAATGAAACCTCACTTTTCTATTGAGTGTTTAGATGCTGATACCTGAATGGATTAAAAAAAATTGAGTTGCACGGTTCAGTACAGGAGGTAATTTGTCAGTAAACATTCCCTAAGGATTCCTTTTGGAAACTCTGATAATGAGATGTAGCTTAATGCAGACCGTAATGCTTTAAGAATTTTTTAACTAATTACACTTCAACCTCTTCTTTTTTTTTCCCTTTTAAGGTGTGCCTTATTCCTAAATCTGCTCATGGTACAAATCCAGCAAGTGCACAAATGGCAGGGATGAAGATTCAGCCAATTGAAGTGGATAAAAATGGGAGCATTGATATCTCCCATTTAAAAGCAATGGTGAGTATTTATTTAATTTTCAAGGTAGGAACACTCCTTCTCTGAAGGTAATAGTACTGGCAGCTGAATCATATTTTTCTTTGGGAGAAAATAGAGCGATAAGAATGTTTATGTGCTTGGAAATGGTAAGTAATTATTTTTTTAATAATTTTTTTTTTTTTTTGCTCATTCAGGCAATAGCCATGTGGTACTTGTAAGATTTCTTTTAATTTTAGGATCTTTGGTGCAGGAGTTGCTCAAAGAGTCTTTCTACACTCTTTTATAACAGACCCTTTTGGTCCACATCTAGTAGTTGAAATAAAGGAACCATGTTCATGAGTGTGAAGCATTTCAAACTGCAAAGTTCAAGTCCACCTCTGCTGGGGAAGGTGTTGCTAGGCAACCTTTTTTTTTTTTAGATTGGCCGCAGTTCAATCTTGGGATACAAGGGATTAGCAGGACACATTTCCATATTTAAACGAACTTTTATAGTAGTTGTAGAACTGTATGGCTGAAACTAGGGGGAATGGCCATTATATCATGTTACCTCGAAGGCCAGATAGTTCCCTTAGCTTGTCTGGAGGTTCCAGAAGTGAACGTTTTTTTTTTATATATCTGGAGGTTCCAAAAGTGAGTCATTTTTTTATATCCCTCTCTGTGTGTGTGTGTGTGTGTGTGTGTGTATATACCTGCCTTCTTCCCTAATTTAAAATTACTTTGGTTATCTGCTGATAGAGTTGTTTCCCACCTGTAAAACACCTGATGACTTCAGCTGTATTTTTTTGTAAAAATCTTGAGAAGCTTTAGGAGCCTCAGTGACCTTTCTCTCCCTCTCCTGGCCACCAGGTGGACAAGCACAAAGAGAACTTGGCAGCCATCATGATCACATACCCTTCTACCAATGGTGTGTTTGAAGAGGAGATTGGAGATGTGTGTGACCTCATTCACAAACACGGAGGACAGGTTTACTTAGATGGAGCAAATATGAATGCTCAGGTACCAAAAATCTCCTAGACAGATTTATTACAGCTGGGAGTCCTTGGAATAAAAAATAGCACAGCATTACTCAGTTCAGACCATAACACAGGTTCCTCACAAGGTGGCACAGTGCTTGGGGGAGGAGGTGAGGTTTGCAAGAACAGTGATAAAAATTAGATGGTAAAAGTAAGTATTTTATATTTGACTTGCCCTGAAATGTGTTGTAAGGTGTATGAGTTGTTCATTGAAATTGGCTTAGTCTCTGCTTAACCTTTATCAAAGACATTTTTTGCAGACATCATAATTAAGAATTTCCTTAAGCAAAAATTTGTTTGCATCAAGTTCTTTTTTTTTTGATGCATCACGATAAACATAAAAACATACAGTCTTTTTCAACATGCTCTCCTTCAATGCATTTAAATGGCATATGAAGAAAGTTTTGAAACAGAGTAATCCCTTCACAGGTGGGTCTGTGTCGTCCTGGAGACTACGGCTCTGATGTCTCTCACTTAAATCTTCACAAAACCTTTTGCATTCCCCATGGAGGAGGAGGGCCTGGAATGGGACCAATTGGAGTGTGGGTATCTGTATATTAATAGCCTTACCTTAAAGAAGTATGTATATACAAGCCTTAGTGAGTCTTGGTTGGCGGTTCACTTCAGTACACAGCTGTGAGTGGAAGAGAGATACTGTTGTTTGTAAACTTCTGTCCTTCTCCAGCATAGTCACATGCTGACCTCATGAATAGCGATGTTCATTTGTGTTCTCAAACCCTGACTTCCATGTTGGCCTTTTAGTGTGCATGGTAGAGCTCCCTCACCAGTCCATTTCCTGAGTAAACGCAGAGATGATCTGTGGAATTTGAGGGCTGATACTGTATGTAGTGCAGAACGCAGAAGTGGAACATGAGCTATGTGAATCTATTCTGTAGAACATTCATATTTCCTTAAAATAATCTTGTTTCAAGAAAATAATTTTTATTTGGATAGCTCCATGAATATCTTGTGATAGGTAAAACTGAGTGCCATCCTCTGTTGGCAACAGTTATGTTAATAAACTTTGTTGAAGACATGGACCAGACTTCCTGGAGGACTGTGTTTGGAAGCAAGGTGAAGAGAAAATACTGCTGAAACTGTTCAGATATGGTAACGTAGGAACACTCATTTAAGTTCTATAATCAATGTTTTTGTTTTAGGAAGAAACATTTGGCTCCCTACTTGCCTACCCACCCTGTCATCAAAATACAGCCGGATAAGGATGCATGTTCTTTGGGTACTGTCAGTGCTGCACCTTGGGGTTCCAGTGCTATATTGCCAATTTCCTGGGTGTATATCAAGGTGTGTAGACTTTTATAAGGAGTTTCAGCTGAGGTTCTGTTTCTATTTCAAATGCCACTGGAACCACATGAACAGGTTTAAGAGCAACTCATCATAAGATGTTTGCACAGACTGAAATGCAGGAGACTACAGCATGGTTACTGATTATTTACATCCATCAAAACTCCTTAGGACAATGGAACTGCCTATTGCCATCTTCAGTCATGGGAAAGGAGTTAGGACAAATGCTCTATGTCCAGCCTGGTTAACTCTTTTACCTCTTGTCTGTAATAATTTTTGAGACAAGTGGACACCAGGCAGAAAATAGCAATCAGGCTTGCCCTCCCACTTTTTCTGACATGGAAGTTTTCATGTTGAAAAGCTACTTGGTAATTACTGTTCTTCCAAGAATATTTCTGTTTATTTACTGCAGCTTTGTTATACTTGACATGTATGTAACTTTCCAATATCCTGAATTCCAGAGGATTTTACTGAAGTTTAAAACTGAACTTAGTTTTAGGTTTGACTTTGGATGTGAAACAGCATGGTCATGATGTCTATATTTGTTAATCCCTTGTAATTTAGGGATTAGTCAGCAAATATTTGGTTGCAGATATGTAAGTATTTAGCCAAGAGAGATGAGTGTAGATTCAAATTCTGTTTGAGAGAAGGTGTGCTGGGACTCTAAGCAATATTTAAAGCTTTCAGTGACAGAAGGAACTGGGGAACAGTGAGCACAGAGGCAGTGTCATTCAGGGCACTCTGTCACCAGTTTCATACTCTAACCATGGAAACTTTCTCTGCTGAGGAAACCAGCTCTCCCAGAATTCAAAATGCGCAAATATGAGCTGACGCAACTTACCTGGTGGCTTTTCAGCTGTGGGTAAAAATCACTTGTGACTGTAAGCTGGTTCCCATTACAGAATATTTAAACTGTAGTAAATTTTTAAGGGAAGATGTTTCTTCACACGGCAAAATGCCATCTATTTACACTGTAACATCTGAAGAGGTTACCTTGAAGGCTTTTTTGGCTTTCTCCTTTGTCACCTTAACTTTTAAGTGCAATGTTAAGAAATTCAATCATATCTCAGTTCCAGCATTGTCCTTTTTTTGTGATTTAACAGAGGAAATAAGTGCATATGTATTCATTTGGCTCTGGTCTTTTTTCATACACAGTATCATCTGTGACATGACACTAGCAAGGAGAGTTTGAGTTGCTGGGATAATCTGTACAGACAGCACACATAGCTTTTTGGACAGCCCTCTAGACACTCTTTCCCATGGAAGGTCACAGGCAGCCTGTGCCTTATGACATTATTGAGTTCTCACTTTTTTTTCTATTCACTTCAAAGCTTCACAGTTTGAGGAAAGGATATCAAGCTTAACCTCTTACGCAGTAAACACTCTCATAAGCTATTGTATACCAAAGGTGCTCTCAGTTAATACCCAGAGCTTTCCTGTGAGTGTCGTGTGGAAAAGTATAATTGCAGAGTGACTGCCTTAAACTAGCCAGATGCATCGAGGTGCTGTTTTCTATCATGCTTGTCAGTGCAAGAGCACGCTTAGCTTGCTTGGGAGTGGTTTTAGATCTGTTTCTTCATGTTATTCCTCTTTCAGACAATGGGAGCAAAGGGTCTGAAGCATGCTTCTGAGATTGCTATACTGAATGCAAACTACATGGCAAAGAGACTAGAGAAGCACTACAAAATCCTTTTCAGAGGAGCAAAAGGCAAGTATTAGGCAACTTTTTTCTTCTACAAAGTTGACTTTTTCTTTTTTGCCTCATGTAGAAGTTGACTTGCAGTATGGTTCTTTTTTAATGCTATGTGACAGCTGCATCTCAACTTCTCTTGATGTTGTTCACATGAAGAGAAATAACCTGCCACACTTCTTTCGTGGACATACTGCAATGAAACTGAGACACTTGGAAGTAGTAGGAAAAAATGCCTGCTTGTAATTAGATGAAATGATGACAAAAGATGGAGTAAACCATCAGATTATTCTCCTTTAAATATTATGGCAGACTAATGAACAGTAGGAAAAGGAGAAGCAATCAAGTTGAAACCCAAATCCCCTATAACCAATGGCACTACAGTTTAAGAACTGGAAGCAATTTTTGGACCTGCACTTTCCCTTGCACACTTTCTCTAAAATAATATTTCACCACATTTCCCTCATTTCAGCTCCTAGTTCATTTCCGTGATATGGGACAGAATCCCCTTGGCAATGCAAGGCACTTTAGCTACATTCTGGTTCCCTGTAATGGCTCTCCAGTCTTGCAGCAGGACAGAAGTAATGAATAAGAGGTGAAACAATTGTCTGTAAAGCAGAGTAACTTTCATAGCATGTTATTTTGCTTCTTCAAGCTCAAGAACATTGAGGAACATTTGAGTACAATATGTATGTTCTTTAAAATATGGCTTATATTTAATGGTGTACATGTTGGCTCAGTCTGCAGACTGCACTTCAACAGAAATTATTTCCTCACAGAAGTGAATGAAGTTGCAAATTTTGAAGGATTCAGCAGTGAAATGAATCAGGGTTCTCCAGGATCATGGATATAAATTTAGATAACTTTTGACTTTAGCCTTTTCTTGTAACACAATATTTTAACTTTGCTCTGGCATAAGATAAAACTGTATATAAGATAAAACACCCAAATGGCATTGGGTCATTGACAAATCCAGTTGTTTTTCAGAGTACTTGCAAGTTGTAGGAGCTACTTTGACTGCTCATTCCTGGTTCTGATCTTGTAAATCAGGCCTCTACTTAATGCGACATGGGCCCCAAAGAGCCAGTCTTCACATAACGAATTGTGTATCTCTTACCTGGTAATTTCTCAGGTTTGAGTTTTTGCCCAAGTGGATAGATTTGAATTTGTCTTTTTGCCATGTTCTCCACAAAAACCAACCAGAGCAGACTTGGTAGATGGCAGTGTTCTCCTAATAAGTAAACATAGTGTATACTTTTTTTGATTTACAGGTTATGTAGCCCATGAATTCATTTTGGATACAAGACCTTTCAAAAAAACAGCAAACATTGAAGCTGTAGATCTTGCTAAGAGGCTTCAGGATTATGGTAAGTCAAATGTCTACTTGTTAAAATAGCAGATGTAAGTGAAGATTTTCTATATCTCTTCTAAAGGGAGACAGAAACATTCTAGTTCTGTGCTTACAGACAGTGAATCTGCGCAGTCATTTCAGGCCACCTCATCTTCTTCAAGGGCTTGGAGAGAATTTTTTGTCAACTGAGTTGTAGTAGCTACTTACGACTCTGCTGCTGCCTCACAGTTTTGTAAACTGCCCCTTCAGTTACTGATTACATGACTCTGAACCATTTGGAGCAAGTGGGTTGGAGCCATGATAAGAATGGAATCTTAATAAGATTCCAAGAAAATGAAAACAGAATATTAAGAAAAAAATAAAGAAATACTGTTGAAGAAGGATAATAGGATTTAATATAGGATTCCATCCTGATAATAGTTTTGTGCAGTTTTGTACACATGCTCTAAAGAATCTGATAGTGGATGCTCTTTGGCTTCCAGACAAGAGGACCCATTGAACTGCTTGACCCTGTGGAACTGTGCTTCTAATGAATATGCATGAAAGCTGTTAAAACTCTAACCAGTAATACCCCTTCAGTTAAATAATCCAAAGCCTAGCTGTGATACTAAAAAAACTACCCTTCCTGCTCTTTGAAAGTGGGCTTCAAATAGCATGCACCACTTTAAATAGACTTTCCAGGAGGTACAGAGCTACCAGGGATAAGTATAGTAAAGTTCCATCCTCTGCAGCCAAAAGTGTCACAAAACTGTACTTACAGGGCAGGCAGGTAATCTTGAGAAACCACCTTTTCTTTTACCTGGTTTGCCAGTGGAGAAACCTATACCTGTCTCATGTGGCCATTCAGCCTGTCCTAAGGAAGAACACCTCTACCGAAGTGAGCAGTAACACAAATAACCCGAGAAAGATGCAATATACTTTGGGCTGAACAGTAACAAAGCAAAAAAGAGCAGATTGTAAAAGTATTTCATTAAATCAGTGTGTAACTCTATTGTAAATAATACAGTGGTGTTACCCTTCAATGTTAAAAACTAAGATACTTAAAAGTCTGTCTTATCTCTACAGTACACTGCCAGCACTACCCAGGAGTTCTGTCCTGTAAAGATTATTGCACAGAAAGGGCTGAATTTGTGAATCAATTGATAGCTAATTATCTAATATATATTATACATATCTTATCTCATAAGCTATTGTCAGTGACTGATTTCTTCTACTGTCATCAGGTTTTCATGCTCCAACCATGTCCTGGCCAGTGGCAGGGACACTTATGATTGAACCAACAGAGTCTGAAGACAAAGGAGAACTAGACAGATTTTGTGATGCAATGATCAGTATTCGGCAAGAAATTGCTGAAATAGAGGCAGGCAGGATGGACCCCCAAATTAACCCACTAAAGGTAAGATGGCATGAGAGCAAGTTGCCAGCATCAGCTTAACCCTTGAGACTTCCCTGAGACTACATAAGCCTGCTTCCTGGTCTTTCAGTACTCTCAAAAACAACTTTGTGCAACAGAGAGCACAAGAATTTTTAGAAACCTTCAACTTTTTCAAAATTTGAATTTTGACTTTTTCAAGTTAGAAGTATGGCCTTTACTGACAGAGCAGAGAAAGTCCAGCATGTGATCTGTATTTCAAGGCCACCTCAAAGCAATGAAGGAAAGATGCTTATTTATCTGCGTTAAGAGAGGAAGTGGAAAGACCTTAACATTAAGAATAAAATAAAGATTGAATTAATCATTTTAGCAGCAGCAGCACAGAACTGCTGTTGGCTCAAGTTCTGTTCAAGTATTGCAATGCTGTACTGACTTTTAGATACTGAGGGGACTTCGTGAATAGCCAGAAGTATATTCAAACTTTGGAAAGTATCTTCAGGCAAACTGAAAAAAACTCCAAATACCGACTTGCCTCCTGGTTTAGACCTGCCTTTTGTCCTGCAGAAAAACAGAGTTCTCAAGAGACTCTTAAGACAGCAGTTATTTACATGTAGTAATGTGAACTTGAAAGAGGGTTCACACTGATATATTAAGTAATTTTGTGTCATAAATGTGTCTTCTTCCTTGTAGATGTCACCACATACTCTGAACTGTGTCACTTCTTCCAAGTGGGATCGTCCCTATTCCAGAGAAATGGCAGCATTCCCACTGGTGAGTAAATAATGGGAACCTAGTGTTGTGGTAATACATAAATATGCTTTGTGCTCTGTAGTTTTTGGTCAGTTGGAGATGAAGTAATGTGGTAAAAATAAAAACTCGAGAGCAGTTTTTGCAGTTGCTCAGGTTTTATGTGTGTGTGAGCTCTGCCACAATTCCATTAGTTTTGTTTTTAAAGACAAGGAAAGAAGATCTCAAAAAGAAAGTCTCTACACATCAAGTGCAAACTTGGATTTTTAAATCTTAGCACTTAAACAATGGGCATTTATTCCTATTGGAAAGAGCCTGTTGAGTTATGACATACTGCAGCAGGGGCTCCCAGAACTGTGTACCATGTGCTGACATTCAAAGCTCTGCTCAGAAGAACTTGACAAGATGCCCCATGGTCGGCATGGGGCAAGCCACACCCATGCAGCCCTGCTACAAATAAGGGTCACATTGAAGCAAGACTCATCAGACTTCTTAATTGCTACCAGGGTTATAACAGGTAAACATGTAACTAGCCCTTCTCATCTGAAACTGAATGGCAACTATTTTATTGCTACTATTGTTTCAAAGAGTAGGAATTCAACTGCACTTTAAAGGTGCAGTTGCCACTGTGCTTTATATATTGTATTGTAACTATATACTGAACAGCACAGTAGTCTCCTCCACTTTTCCTTGGTTCCTGTCTGTAAGCCAGTTATTCAAAGGATAATAAAGTTTTCTTTTATCCCATGGAAACTTTTTTTCTGCAAGCATTTCTTAAGAGGACATGGCTTCCCTTATTTTTTTAAATCTAAACATTCTAACATGCCTGCCACCTCTATTAAATATGCTTGTTAATTTTGAGGGCCTGCAAATAGCTGTGAAAAATTACTTTAAAAATCCACTTTTCCTGCATTTGTAATTCTTAAAACTTCTAATTTTCTTGGTAGAAAAATTAAGATTGGTTGGTTTTTTTTAATCTCTCTTAGCCATTTGTGAAGCCTGAAAGCAAGTTTTGGCCCACAATTGCTCGCATTGATGATATATATGGGGATCAACATCTGGTTTGTACCTGCCCACCAATGGAAGCCTATGAATCTCCATTTTCTGAACAGAAGAGAGCATCTTCTTAAGACTGCTTCCAGCTGCCTGCATTTCTGACTCCATCAGGATGGCCTTTTCCTGATTTCCTGGGGATATGTATACTGTGTATATTTTGGATAATCACCATGTTTGTTAATTGAATCACTGCGCAGTTCAAATGTAAATACAATCAGTATGTTAGGAGTAAACAAAATGTGACTGTTTCTCAGCAGTTGATGTTGAAGTTACCTTGATTCAGCCTTTTGTCTGTTTAGTGCTAAAGTTTTAACAATTAATATCCAATTTGCAAAGTGGCATGGAAGATAGGGTTTTAAAAGTAGAAAAGATGCAGATACATAGGGCAATACTAATGAACATTAACTGCAGCAGTAATTGTTTACATTTTGTAAAAAAATGATGAAGTAGGTTTTTAATTTACTTCACGTATTACTACTAGCATTGCAAGTGTTAGTATTTCATACTGATTTTTTTATCTACCAGTATTAGTAGTCTAATAAAACTAGTAAGAATTTTAAGTGTTGTCATGTTTTGGATGTGAACTTTTCAGCTGGATTTGTCCAGCAGAGCAATATGAAATTATGAAGCTTAAGTTCTTATTTGTAAGAATTGCCACAGCAGTAACAGCTTCTACACAAAGGAAAACAGAAAGATTATTATTGCAACAAATCAGAGATTATTATTTCAACAAATCTCTGATTTTTTCAATGGTCTAGAATGATCCATTTTACCAAGCAGTAACAAACATAATATTTTTCTGTATCACATCAATTTTTCCGTGTAGTTCCATGTAGTCCTTTCTTATTCTGGAGAAGGCATGAAAGATCTTGTTAAACAGCCTGTAAACTGCTTAGTATGACAGATCTTGGGTAACACAAAGCAGGAATTTTGGTAGATGAGGAAACAGATACTGGGATAACATTTGGACTGTGGAAAGGAAGGCACAGTTTTGCACCTTACAACCATGCACTACTCAACCTCTTCTTGAAGGTCCACATGCATTCACGCCTGGGAACTCTTTCTGAAGTGACACAAACGAAGCTCGTGTTCACAGCACTGCTGAAAGTGCTGTGCTTTTGTGTCCTTTACAGTGAAAGTTTGGGGACTGCAACTTATGCATTACCTACCTACCCTATGACTTTAATTAGACAAAGACTGCAGATGACAAGAAGGTTTAGGAAGATAAGGCCAGATACCAGTTTTGATATGAAAAGCTGCACCTACATCCTACACCACCTCAATACATAGTGAAGAAAATCAGAATTTTATACCCAAAAATTTACTACTGAAAAGGGCGTCTTTCCGTATATACTGATATAGCACTAAGGACATAAAAAATCATGAAAAAAACACTGCAAACTTGTAATGTGAGGAAAGGACAGTCTTTCTCTGTTGCCAGTCTAACTACACAGTTTTGTCAAGCTACTTCAGTATTTGCTAAAAGCAGTTTCATGTTGCTCGATTACGCCTGCCATTGGAAAAGATATACGAAAAACTTGGTTTACATATTTTTGTATCAAGCAGATGATAACTTCCCATTGTTGACCTCAAACTGACAAATTTATCTCATCAATTAATTGGTAAAAACTATCAAATGGAAAACAAAGCACTAAAATATTTCACAACACTTCAACTAAAAAGTGACAAGCCACAAGTCTGATGTGCTTACTGCACAGATGCCATGGCTTTGACAAATAAAATTGCATCTGTTTTCCCCAGCAAACACTGAGCTCTACCTGTAGCACTGCTGTGGTTACAAGCGGTCAGTGTAACCTCAAAGCCAACAGTGGGAATCTGCTTTATCACCACAGCTCCCAGCTGCACAGAGCTGGCTCTGGCAGCAAGTGCTGGCTCCCTCTGACTCCGTTACACGAGCAGAGCACTAAAAAGCTCCCACTGCTACAGAGTGTGAGTGAGTCCCTGGATATCAACGTCAGGTTGGTTTTTGGTTTGGGGTTGTTTTTGTGCTTTTTTACTTTGTTTTTTTAATTAAGTGTTCTTTTCATTGAGTTGAATATAAAGCCTCATGTTTGAAAAATAAGAAGGCTACCTAAAGAAAGTGTTTTGTAATCTGAAAAATAAATTCTGTAGAAACCTTATGACTTAATTAAGTGGATAATAGTAAAAGCAAAATTAGCAACTTTTCTGAATCATAAAATATTTAATAGGGTATATTTTTGGGAGGGATATATTGTATATAAAATTTCAGATCACAATATGAAGCGATTTGAACCTTCTCCAAGCTAGCACTGCCTTTAATGCCGTGTAGATGTACTGCCACTAATACAAGACCTACTAAAAGCATACAGTTTAACTAATACAGAAGTGGCTTTTTTATATGAACTATTTTTTACACAACTAGAGTGTCTTGAATACTCTCTTTTAAGTGCAAAAAACACAGATCACTTTACACTAATGCAGCAACAATGCATTCATATTGTTCTCATTAGTCATTAGTAGTCAACTTGCATAAGATACAAGAAAAGCACAATGAAGCTCACAAAAATAGACTAAAAATCAGCCTGTTCTTGCAAAAAAATACAGCATAATAGAAGAAAAAGACAAAAAAGGGATTATGCACACCACAGAATTTGCTGTTATTTAATCCAAATGGTTTAAGTGCTGATTCTGTTTCTTTTTTCTGGGTTTTTTTTTTGGGGAGGGGGTTGTGGGTTTTTCTTTTGGTTTGGGTTTTGTTACTGGATTGGTTTTTTTGTAAATCAAACCACATGGACCAGGCACAACTAAGATTTAGGAGGCAGTGTGTAGCTAAAACATCACTAACTTTTTTTTTATCCCCAACATTGTTTAACACAATTTATTTTCCTCTGTCCTGAGGTAGTTACAAAAAAACAAATCATAAATTAAGCATCAGCTAGGCCAGTAAGAGCTGATGCTTTCCTTTTTCTTTTTTTTTTTTCTTTAAAAACTATCTGTTAACTGGCCAAAACTACCGCTGATGTTAAAAGATAGCTGAGAATTAAGAGTTCTCACAACACGAGAAAATGGCTATGAGGGGAAGAGGGTTAGCTGCTTCAAAATGTGACAATGTATTGAGTCCCATCAGCGTGGCTGGTCTGCTGCTGTATTTCCCATGTTTATTCTCCTTTACTGTCTATAGTCACTGGGAGAAGTACAGAAGGATCTGAGCACATCATCGTCCTTTACTGTAACCAGGAAAGAACTGGTCCAGCAGTGTCTGCAGGATCTTGTTGGGGACCATGGTGTAGCCCTTTCCCAGGTCATAGCGGCAGGCAGGGCAGGTGAAGACTTCAGCTCTGAAGGAGCGCTGTAAACAACTCTAAGACATACAAAGACAGAGAAATTAATTGTGAGAATTTTGTTTTAGACCAACAGTTTAACCAGCAGAAACTGAGGAATCGCTATTAACAAAAATCTGCTGTACTACCAGAAAAAGAGAAGTCATTGCCAAGCCCTTTGTGCCTGACTCTGCCTCTGTGACTAACGTTTCACAGCAAAGGAACTATTCTCTGTCCCGGGATGTGAAACACTGAGTTCAGGAGGAATTAAAACAAATCACAACTGAGGTTCCCCTTCATTTCCAAAAGTGCCTTCCCATAATTCACAGCTGATTTTCAGCTTCCTTACAGCTTGCTTCACAGATTGCTACAGTTTTCCAGACTTTTATTTCAAGAGGAAGGTGAATATAGAAGGTATACTGTTTATGTAAAAATCTCCATCTACCTCATCAGAACAGTTTCAGCTAAGCCTTACAGATATATGTAGGATAATACAATCTTTAACACATTAGCATCTGTGCTGTCATCCTTACTTACTGCTGACTGCTGACAGCCCGAGCATGTGAGCCGAGTATCAGTAATTTATCAGACAGATCTGTGCCCAAACACCAATAGCAGCTTACTATCAAACTATTCCTTACAACTATAACTGGATGTTGTATTGTATTCATGAATATTTACTGATATGTTCAAATGCTGTGCTTTGTTGCTATGTAGCTTTTTGTTCTTTTTTTTTTCCCCACGGTTTTCCGATTTCCATAATCCTAAATTTTAATTCCTTCAAAATACTTCTTATGTTTTTTAAGGAGACATAATCATTCCATGTGTGCAGGCCATGCATAACAACACCATGATTTTTACTGGAGTGATACATACCTTCTTGAATAGCAAACCTGCATTATCAAATACTGTACTAAGATGATAACAGTCTGAGTTCTTTCAGGCTCTCAGGTAGAAATACTAGGTATGGCAGGTACCATTCAAATATGCACAATTCAGCAATCATTATGTACGCACCAGTGCTACAAAAACTAGTGCAAATTTGACTCCAAACTCCTTACATCATATCCAACTGAGCAAGATTTTAAGACACATGAGTAACGAATTGACTTCTGTGGCCTTCCTACCAAACATAACCAATGCCAAGAATAACAAGATAATTTTCTCTGAATAAATCCACATAATTTGCCTGTATTAACCCTGCATCCTTTCACAACCTTTAGTAAGAGAGTTATACAATTATAAAATTTGGTTTTATTCCTTAACTATGTAAAATTAAATTATTGATACTGTGCCAACATCTAACCGCTGGGCCAAACCAAATCCTAGTGTGCTCCACTGATCGCAAGAAGCGTGACAGTAATGGTAAACCTCACTCATTATGTCTATCAGGAACTATGTGAAACAGACTTCCACTGTTTATTACAAAGAATAAAGTCTACATAGGAAACACTGAATGGAAACTTGTTGCATGTTTTTGCTCAGAATGTTAGGCTGCTATTACTGTTTCTCTAAAAAGCATATGGCTTTGGTGACTGGTGTCTCAGAGCCAAGAAAACAGCCCAGAGCAAGGCAGAGTTTTATTCTTACTTTACAGACGTTGTGGAGGCACTCTGTTGTCACCGGCTGGTAAACCAGCTCCTGGCAGCAGACACACATAAAGGATTGTTCCAGTTTCTTCAGAAAATTCTAATGTAGGGCAAAGGAATAAAAGAGACAAACTCCATTACAGTTCTCGTAAATGCCACTTCTTACATAAAGATGATGAACTTTCAGAAGTTCTTAGGTCCTTTATGAGCACAGTTTTCTGAAAGTAATCAGGAATTGGGTCTTTAATGGCCTAATTTCCCTGCTTTTTTAAAAATGGAAGATTCATATAATCATAAAATGGTTTGGACTGGAAGGGACCTTAAACGACACCTATTCCAACCCCTCCACTAGACGAGGTTGCTCAGGGTACCACCCAGCCTGGTCTTCAAAACGTCCAGGGATGGGGGACCCACAACTTCTCTGGGCAACCTGTCATAAAATTATTTTCTGCCTAAATAAAAAGTAGTGACTAGAATCATCTTTCTTCACATCTCATTTCTGACATCAGCATAACATAAAAATACATTTGTCATTTCAGAGAAAGCACAAGTCTCGTCAAAAATGAAAAAAAAATGAAAAGCTACTTTTAACTTCAAAATGTTTTTTCAGCAAGAAAATATCTCTATTATGCAGGCATAAACTGATAAATAGCAAATGGCACATGTGAGGCTTCTTTTCTTGAAATATAAGCATGAGTAATGTTCTGCTAAATACAGTCTGTATTTAGCAAAAGTTCATCAACCAAATTACGTTTTAAGAGGGACTGAAGGTTTCTCCCAATAGTATAAATAAAAGGTAAACATTAGAAATTATTCATGCAATAAACATACTGGTCCTTCCTTAAGAGAAGCAAGTACTTCATCCCACAGTTTCTGGTTCATACAGTCTTCTCTAATCAGCCATTGTTGCTCTTGAGTCAGCTGGAAAGCTTCTCCTTTCCCTCCATCTCCCATCCTCATGGCTTTGGGTGTATTCGCAGGTTCCTCTATACCTGCTTAAGACGATGACCATGAGATGCAGTAACAACACAGTGTTAGTCTGAACTAATAAAAGGGGAAGACAAAACTGTTTCTAGAAGGAAACATGGATTAACATGGATTACATTCATGAAATGCGGCAAGCAAATTCCTACTGCAGCTCATACTGTTCAGCATTGTTTGGACTTGCAGCACAGTGGCACAGAAGAATGTTCGTTTCTCTACAGAGCTTAAGAGAAAAAAACACAGTAAGAGCAGTAAAAAGCATAAGACCCCTACACTACTACTTAATTACAGAGGGTGTGGTTATCCATTTACATTAGAATTCCAAACAACTTCACACTTTCATTAAGACTTCATGGCTTAGTAGTAACTACAGGACAGACTTTGCTGATGAATGCTAAAAAAGTAAAAAGAAATACCATCATCAATTGTCCTTTTCTGGTTTCCATTACTTTGGTTGGTTGTCTCCTGTTTCACTGTTTGCTTTTTAACCTTATCTTTCTTCTCCTTACTAGCCATGGCTTCCAAATAACCTTCTGGATACTAAAATTAAAAAGCAGAGATTTAAAACAAAAACTGCTGGCATACAGAAATAACCAAATACCAAAAAGATTAATTTTTAAAAGACTTTAAAGTCCTATGACTATATAGTGAAATAATTACCAAATAATTTTAGAACCCTGTATGATGGAGAGAACATTTAAATTAGTATCTATCATTAACAAAGTGTACTCAAGTCAAAGAATCTAATCCAGACTCAACTGCATTAAGCAGAACCCTATGTTCGTATCTATGTCCTTACAAGTATACAAATCAGT